TACCATAGATTTGGTGCCTCAGACGACAGATATTTATTTCCCATGATTCCAGAGGCTGGAAGTCTAACATCAGGGCAGCAACACGGTCAGCTTCTTGGCAAGGACACTTCTCTTGGTTCGCAGATGACTGTGAACCTTCTCACTGTGTCCTCACATGGTGGAGAGAAAGACCTCCTGTCCCTTGGCTCATTATAAGGGCGTTAATCCCACCAAGGGGAATCTGCCCTCATGACCTCATCTAACCATAATTATCCCCCAAGGGCCCCACCACCCAATATCATCACACTGGGGGTAACCACTTCAACACATGAATGGTGGGGAGGGGACACAAACATTCATTCCATGGCAAACATTCACCCACTTTTTGTCCTATTCTCAACTTCTATTCTCTCTGCCTTGGTAGTAAAAATTCTTACCCCATTGTCACCCAGAATGCCCAGAAATCATCTTGAACTCTTCTGCTATTTCCTACCTTCTCTCTCACTATTTCTTAAATCCTTCATCGACTTCCACATCCACTGTTACTATCTGAGTTTTGTAGCATCATAACTTCTCACCTGGGTTTTTGGCAGGGTTTCCTACTTGGTCTTGTTCCTGCTCACTGATTCATTTCCCGTTCTGCAACCAGAGTGATCACTCCAGATGGAGGGATGATCATGGCACTCTTGATCATGGCACTCCTTTCAGTTGCTGAAATGCCACATTCCCTTGCCCTCTTCTAGGCTTTCAAATATGGCATCCCTCTCTTGGAAAGCTCTTATTCCTTTAAAACCAATACTTTACCTAGTTAACTCCTATTCATTCCATGGCGTCTCTGCACTTCCTCCTAGAAGCCCTCCTGGAGTGTTTGTGTGTGTGTGTGTAGGGGGAGCAGAATAACTACTTGGAAACCTTTTTAAAAAGTCAATTTCTGTGCCTCATCTCTGGAGATTTAGATTTAGTGGGTAGTGGTGGAGGCCAGGGATTTGCATTTTAGTCAACATTCTGATGTGGATGGCCTGTAGACCACCCTTCAAGAAGCCCTATTTTAAAATTTCCATTTTATATCTGTGGAACTGAATCACAAGAAATCATGTTTCACACAGTAATCAAGGGAGCAGGTTCAAATCATAGAAAGATCCAGATGATGAGAGTCTTATTTTGGCTTCTCTATTAACCAGAATAAGACACTGATAGGGCAAATCACTTAATCTCTCTAAGTCTGAATGTCTCCATTTATTTTAAAAAACAGATTAATAGTTCTCTGTATTGCCATCCCTAAGACTGACTGTAAAGACCAAATGATCTCAGTAGATATACTATACAAATGTAAGAAAATGTTCTCTTTAGAACTCTGTTTATTGAGCTCCTTAATAAAAGGAATTATTTGTAGTCACTAGACTGTATTCATTAAGATAGAAAGGAGACTCACACTTTAGAAAGATAGCTACATGGTCAAATAGAAAATAAGTTTTTGCTTAATTTCTAATTAAAACAAAGACTTGTTAACCAGAATATCCTACTCCTGAACATTCTTTTTTTTTTTTTTAAAGATTTTATTTTATTTATTTACTGGGGAACAGGTCAGAGGCATGGGAGGGTGAGAGAACTCACCAGAGACAGAGTGGGGAGCAGAACAAGCAGAAGGACCAAAGACACTGCTGAGGGGAGCAGCAGGCGAGGCAGGAGAGGTCTGCCGTGCCATGTGGGTTTCTCCCTGGCCGGCCGGGAATCGAACCTGCACTGCAGAGGCTGCAGACAGCTTCACAGCGTGGTGTGCAACCCCTTGAGCCACTGGGAAGGCCCCCTACTCCTGAACATTCTGATTTTCATATAAATAGTATAAATTTTTTAACAATGACACATTTTTGTGAGTTCTAGGGGAGAAAATATTTACAAGTCATATAGCCAATAAGGGATTAATATCCAGATTAGTAAGGGATTAATATCCAGAATATAGAGACCCTTAACACTGAATAACAACAAGAACAACAAAACCCATTCCAAAATGGGCAAAGGATTTCAATAGACAATTTTTCAAAAATAAATAGGCAACAAGTAAACAGGCAATATCACTCAAAACTACAACGAGATACCACCCTGAACCTGCTGTGATGGCCATTATAAAACAATCAAACCAGAATCGTTGACAAGGATGTGAAGAAATTGGACCCCTTGTACACAGTCGGTGGGAATGTAAAATGGTGCAGTCACTGTGGGAAACACTATGGCAGTTCCTCAAAAATTGACATAGAATTTCCGTAGGACCCAGAAATTCTACTTCTAGATATAGACCCAAAAGAATTGAAAGCAGAGTCTCAAAACTGTATTTGTTTCCCCAGGTTCATAGAAGCATTTTCGCAATACTTGAAACGTGTCCATTGATCAACAACTGGATAAGCAAAATGTGGCATGTGCATACTATGGAATACTGTCTAGCCATAAAAAAGGAAGAAAATTCTCTAATATACTACAACATGGATGAAACTTGAGAATAGTATGCTAAATGAAATAAGCCAATCACAAGAAGACAAATGCTATATGATTTCACGTATGTCAGGTACTTAGCCAACATCAGAGAGATAGAAAACAGAATAAATGACCTTTAGGAAATGACAAAGCTATGGTTCTAAGAACCACTGTTGCCAGGAGCTAGGAAGGAGGGAGGGCCGTGATTACAAAGGGAGTCCTGGAGGGAGTTTGTTTGAGAGGAGCAGAATTATTCTGTACCCTCGTTGTGGTGATAGTTACAAGGAGTCTTTCTTGTGCTAAAATTCATAACCTGTACACAGAAATAAGCACTTGTAGCATATGTTAATTAAAAGTAAAATTAATGAATTGGCCCAATTCAAGGTAGCTGTTTTTCTTGCCAAGAAAATAGCAACCCAAAGGGTTGGAGTTTGCAGAAAGAGCAAAAAAAATATCAAAGATACAGGAGAGTAGGCAGGAAGGGGGAATGAGAACATGCATGCTGGGTGAACAACTGTGAGGACTTTTTCATTCCTTTTCCCTTTTGAGAGTCATGCCCTAAAGATCAGTCTGTCAACTTCCTGGGGCTGCCTCTTCCTTTCTTCAGCCTAAAACTATTCTGGTTACCTTTCATTTCCATTGTTTCTCCTAAAAGGCACAGAACACCTGAGTTCAGCACTCACTTTGAAGGTGAGCTTTACTCCCAGATTGCCTCATGCTCCCAAAATACTCAGAATGGTTGGTTAAGCCTTAAAGCAAATCAAATTTTGTGACAGTTCTAACATTAGAATTCAGAAGGAAACAGGGGAAAGGAATTTTCCATAGCAGCTCTCTTCTTTACCTTCAATTGCCCCCTCTTGCTTGAAGTTTCTAGAGATAAAAGGCAAGACAAATGTGTCATTTTCAATTTTTAGTAGCCATCTTAAACACAGCAAGTGAAATCAATTTTAATACTATATTCTGCTTAACCCAATATATCAAAATGTTATTTCAACATGTAATCAATATAAAAATTATTAATAAGATGTTTTGCACTAAGATATTATATTAATGAAATATTTTTGTACTAAGTCTTTGAAGTCCAACATTTTACATTTAAAGTACATCTCAATTTGACCTAACCAACAGCTAGTAGGCGCTGTATAAGACAATATAGGTCTGGAATGTTCACTTTGGAAGCCGATACAGTCTCTATTTGTACTTTGAAACTATTCTTCATTCACTCATTGGTCAACAAACACTGGAATGTCTACTGCACCAAGCATTAGGCTAGAAACTGGAAATGCAAACATAAAGGAGACATCATTTGCCCTAAAGCTCAGACTGTGGGGGTGAGAGAAACAAAGAGACAATTACAAAATACCATGAAAGATTCATGACATACATGTACTCTATTTTATAAGCACCTGAAAGGGAAGGGAGAGTCCCTAAACGTAATCTCAGAGTTGGCCCTGAGCTGGCTTCCAGGTGTGTAATAGCTCTGTGAAGGGCATTCCAGAGGTACCAGCAGGAGCAAAAGCATTGAAATAAGAGGAGTGGGCCCCAGGAACCTCCTAAGAGTGCATATTAGGGCTAAGAGGAAAGAGAAGAAAGGGGATAGGTAAGCAAAGCCAGGGAAGACCCTGGTTTAGCTTCTAAAATAATCTCCTTCGCTTCCTACAATTTCGGAAGAGGTGAAACCGAGGTGCAATGCACATGACAATGGATTTTAGCTTTTGCTGGAAAGAGTCGCTGCTCCTCTGCACCAGCTGCTCCATGAGGGCAAGGCCGTCTGCTTGGCTCATCTGGCCTTACCCCAGGGCCTGCAGCTCCCCTGGCTGGCGGTGTGGGCGCTGCAAGGCTCGCGAGATGGCTGGGGTTCCTTCACTCTTTCCCTTACAGACCTCCCCACCACCCGCAGCTGAGAGGAAAGCGGGTGCCTCACAGCCTGCACTTCAAAAGTCCTTTGAAGTTCAGGGTCAGGTGTCCACTATGGGCTCCACCACAACCCACCACCCAGGACTGCGCATAATTCAGATGAATTTACAGAACGCACATCGACAAATAAAAAGGTGACTTGAGGACACGGGGTGACTCGACCTGCCAAGGTCAAGGCCAGGTTTCCCCCCTTGGTGACCAGAGCCCTCAGCCTTGCTGAAGGAAGCCTGGCCCCGAGTCCCAGGGCCCCCCCACCCTTGGAGAGGTAGCCAAGGCGCGACCGCTTAACGCGCCTCTCCGGGAGGCGCCACCTCGGGAGGAGCGGGGGAGGGACCAGCCGCGCCCTCGCGCGACGGGCGGTCCCCGCAGTCCCCAGCGCCGGAAGACCCGAGTCCCGCCGCCCCCGCACGGGCAGCCCCCGGGGCGCTGCAGCGCGGAGCTGACCCCGCCGGCAGCCGAGCGGCCGCCACCCCGCCCCGCGCGCGGAGAGAGAGGGTGGAGCGGCTTGATCGCCGCAGCCAATAAAACCAGCGGGTTCCTGGTCCGATCTCCGGTGAGGCTCTCTATTGGTCTCCACCCGGGTCTCGGCCCACCGAACCTTCGCGACCCGAGCCAATCGCGAGGCAGCAGGACGGCCCGGGTTCCCCCGGCGGGCGCGGGCTGCGGGCGGCGACCGGCGCGGGGTGGCTCGGAGCGGGCGTCCGTGACAGGCGGCGGGAGCCGGCACCCCCTCCCCAGCGCGGCGCGCCGCCGGCTCCACCATGGAGCCCGCCGTGTCGCTGGCGGTGTGCGCGCTGCTCTTCTTGCTCTGGGTGCGCGTGAAGGGGCTGGAGTTCGTGCTCATCCACCAGCGCTGGGTGTTCGTGTGCCTCTTCCTCCTGCCGCTCTCGCTCATCTTCGACATCTACTACTACGTGCGCGCCTGGGTGGTGTTCAAGCTGAGCAGCGCGCCGCGGCTGCACGAGCAGCGCGTACGGGACATCCAGAAGCAGGTGAGCGCGCCCGCGTGGGGCGCCGCGCGCGGGGCTCCGTGCGTTCTCGGCGGGGCGCGCGGCGCAGGGAGGTGCGCGGTGCGGGGGCAGCCGAGACCACGGAGGAGGTGGCGCTGGGGCGCATTGGAACTAAACGGAAAAGGGATGGGGAGAGGGCTTCCCGGGGAGGAAACCGAGTGAGCAAAAGCGGTGGGGGAACAGATCATTGCTCGCATGTTTGTGGCGTGCCGGCTGTGCAGCGCGCGTGCGGTGGCTGGCTGGGTGGAAAGGATCGTAGCTAGGGGAAGGTGAGCGGTAGCTACCGCCTGGCCCTGGAGATTTCAGGGGAGGGAAGGCTTCTGGGAGGTGGAGCTGGCCCTGGAGACTGGAAAGTGGAGGAAATGAGCGGGGAGGTTTGCGTCCGGTGCAGACTCTCGTGTGAGGTCCAGCGTGGCAGAAGGTTGGAAAGTCAGTTTAGCGCTGGGTTGTGGGAGAGACTGAGTTTGGAGTTTACTCTGTAGCTGCAGGGAGCTGTTTAGAAAAGTGAAAAGGTAGCACCCAGCCTCTTCACCAGGCTGGGTGCTCACTCTGGGCGAGGCAAGGAGCCACCTCCCAGTAACTCTCCATCCTCCCAGTGTCAGCCCTGCAGAAGCTGTGCCCCTGCCGCTGCTCAGAGTAGAGCCCTCTTCTCGAGTCCAGGGCTGGCACGGGCATCGAGCTTAGGTATTTTCTTGACTCCCTTGCCCCTCCTAGTTCTCTTCACTGATGGGCATCAGGTTGCAAAGAGATTCTGTTTCCTGCGGCCACCCTCATGGCAGGTGTAGCAGCCTCCATGTTCTGTTTGTGCTGTGGTGGGTCCTCGGAAAAGGAGCATGAAGATGGATGCTGAGAGTCTGGGGGGTGGGGGGTAGTAGCCCTTGGTGGGTGGGAGAGGGCAGCGTCTGGGAGTGCCTTGCTCTGACAGCTCTGGGTTTTGCTGGTCACAGTGACAGCTCTAGACCCTGGCTTCCCAACTGTACCCTCCAGCTCTTTCCATGGTTTCAGATTCTCCCTGTACATGCTTCACTCCCCCATCAGAGTGTGGGTGCCTTGAAGGCACCTGACTCACCCTGACCCGTTGAACCAGTGAGTAATTAATTGCCTAAACTGCACCAAAGGACTCACTGTGGACAAGAGGACAAGAGCCTCTGCCAGACCAGCCCACAGCCCTGGACCTGCCATGTGTCACACACAACCCGTGCTGCTAATGTCCTATTTCTAATCCTCACAGCAACCCTGCTAGGTCTTGTGTCTGTTGTAAATCATGTGCCCAATGTGATAGAGCTAGTAAATAGGTAGAAACCCAGGTCAGCCTGATTTCATAGTCTGAATGCCGACATTTCTTCTCCAACACTTTCCATCTCCCTGTTGGTTTGGTTCTGTTGCCTCATCATGGTTGCAATAGCTACCTGATGAGTTGCCCTATTTCCGGGTCCTCCCCTCCCTTTTTGACTGACACAAAGTCACAAAGGTGACTTTCCAATGTATTTACTCCCTAACAAAAATCTTGGTTAGCTCCAACCAATATGACTTCCCACATAAACTTCCTGGGATGCACCATTCAGCTTGAATTCGAGACCCCCCAATCCATACCCCCCACACCTCTGAGCTTATGTCATATCTGGGACGGCAGGGTCGGGCAGGCAGGGCATGCTTGGAAGAATCATTTCTCTTGGCCCTTCAGCCCCTACTCACAGGAATGCCTTCCTCAATAATGCCCTCAAAACCCTCTACTTCACATGGCACCTGGCCCTCTGAAGGTAGGAAAGTTCTTCCCCATGTTGACCTGTTTGCCTCATCAACTCAACACAGTCTTCTCCAAGACTCCTGGTTGCAAGTGATAGAAATTCAACTCAGACTCAACTTGAGCAAAAACGGACTTTATTGACTCAGGTCCTGAAAAGTCCAGGAGTAAAGTGGTTCAGGCACGACTGATCAGGATCCCACTCCCTGTCTCCGTCTCCATCCATCTTCCATCTCTGGCTCTGCTTTCTTCTGAGTTGACTTCATTCTCAGGAAAGCCATCTCCTTGGGGAGGAGCCAACAGTTTGCTCCCCAGCCAACAGGGGTGGGGGGGAGCAACAGTTTCTGGCTTAACATTCAACCAGTTTAGCAGCCCTGGTAAAGCCAGAGTGCCTCTCCTAGAACTGGTCTTATTGGCTAGATGTGGCTTCCAGGTCCATCCCTGAACAGGTCGCTGTGTCCGGGAGGATAGAGACTGAGCTCAGTCATGTGCCCACCTCCTGGGGTAGAGGGTGTAGAATGAACATCACTTGGACCAAAGGAAGAAGGGAATGTTAGAAGCAGATGAAGAGGAACTGGGTTTTTGCACATCACAGCAACAGATATCCACCTTCCTGCTCTCGTGCGTCTCAGCGGGAAGGGAACATTTGCTCTGGTGTTCCTGCTGGGCTTGTCATCTTCTGCGTCATTTGTTCCCTGTGGTTTGTCCTTTGGTCAGTTACAGGAGTGGCTTCGCAAAGGTACTCCCCCTCCAAGTGATAGATGAGTCAATACACACCAGTGCTTAAAATGGGGCTTGGCACATGATAAGCCTCAAGAAGCATTAGCCTTATCCCATTCACTATTCATATAAGCCCATTTCTCCTTCCAGGCTGACAGTGGATCGTCCTGTCTGTGATCTGGGCTGTGCCCTTCAGTGGTTGTGTGACCTTGAGCAGTTCTCTTGCCTCTCAGTTTTCTTATCAGCCAAGGGGACTGGTGATCCCAACCTCCTAGGATTGTTGTGAGAGTTTAATAAGACAGTGTGTACAACATGTGCCTGGAACAGTGGGCACACCCGGTGGTTGGTTATCATTTATATAATTGCTATTCTCACTGTTACAAACCGTATCCTGAAGATCCCAGTTAGGGTTAATGTTTCCCAAGCACTTTGATCCTGTGTTCTAGCTCTTTATTCTACTTTATACTGTGGCGACAGCTCGACTTTTCTGTCAGCCTCATAGCCTGGGAGATCCCAGAGGGGAAGGCCAGTGCCTATAAGGAGGCAGAGCTCAGTAAATGTTTGTGATGGGCAAAGGCTTGGGTCTTAGCCCCCTCTCCTGAAAGCAGGGCTCTGAGCTCAGCCTCTGTCTGTGGTCACAGGTTCGGGAATGGAAGGAGCAGGGCAGCAAGACCTTCATGTGCACAGGGCGCCCCGGCTGGCTCACCGTCTCACTACGCGTCGGGAAGTACAAGAAGACACACAAAAACATCATGATCAACCTGATGGACATTCTGGAGGTGGACACCAAGAAGCAGGTGAGAGCATGTGCTCCTGGCTCTGGGAGTGAGCAGGGCACTGCCCGTGGTGTAGGAGACTCGTGGAGAGCTTAGCTCACCATTGCCATCCTCCAGAGCCTCATGACCGTGAAAGAGATTGGTTGAGTCTCTTCATGTGCATCGTTGCCATTTGTGTGTCATCTTAGGTGGCGTGCCCGTACAAACCTTCTGCCAAGATTTTTTATTGGGTTGTTTGTTTCCTTCTTATATATTCCAGAAACAAATCTTTCATCAGTTGTTTGCAAATATTTCCTCCCAGGCTTTGGCTTGTCTTTTGAAATCCAGAACTTTTTAATTTTGATGACGTCCAGTTTATTAATTTCTTCTTTTGTAAGTAGTGCTTTCGATGTCTTTTGTAAGACATCTTGCCCTAATCTATGTTACAAAAGTTCTTTCCTATGTTTTCTTCTAGAATTATTATAGGTTTAGATTTTACATTTAGGATTGTGGTTCATTTAATTTTTGCATGTGGTAGGTATGAGCTAGGGGTCCCAAAAATTATGTTGGCATGTGGATCTCTGTTTCAGCACTCTTTTATTGAAAGGATGATTCCTCCACCCCCCCACCCCCCCACACACACACTGAATTGCCTTTCCATCTTTGTTGAAAGCATCTGTCCATACACATGGGTCTGTTTCTGGACTCTTCTGTCCTGTTGACCTGTTTGCCCATCCATATGCCAATACCACATTGTCTTGATTACTGTGACTTTATAAATTGTAAGTTCTTAAGAATGAGTTGGCAAGTATTCCTTCCTTTTCATCTTCCTGAATAAATTTGTGTAGAATTAGTATAATTTCTTTGTTCAGTAATTAGTGGAATTAACCAATGAAATAATGTAGGCCTGGAGTTTTTCTTTGAGAGCAAGTTTTTAACCACAAATTAAAATTTAAAAAATAGATGTAGGGCACTTTAGGGTTTTTGTTTCTTCTTGGTGAGTTTTGGTAATTTACATATAAAAATATTTATCCATTTCCCTAAGTTGTATAACTTATTGACATAAAGTTATTCATCATATTTCCTTAATGTTCTTTGAACATCTTTAGCAGCTGTAGCAATGTCATATCTTTCACTGATGTTGGTAAAGTGTACCTGGTTTTATTCTGAGCCATCCATCCATCTGGCTACATGGTAATCAGTTACATTGATTTCAAAGAACTAACTTTGGTTTCATTGATTTTCTTCCCCCTATTTTTTGTTTTCTATTTCATTGATTTCTTCTTTGATCTTTGTAATTTCCTTTTATTATTTTGGGTTTAATTTTACTCTTCACTTTCTAGTATTTTAAGGAAGAAACTGAGGTAGTTGACTTAAGAACTTTGTTCTAATACAGATATTTAGTACTAAAGGTTTGCCCATAAGCAATGTTCTAAAGCCTTCCCACACATTTTGATGTGTAAACTTTTATTTTTATCAGCTCAAAATACTTTCTGGTTTCCCTTTCTGCTTTGACTCATGGGTTATTTAGAAATACCTTAACTTCCAAATTTTTGACAGATCTTTCTGGAAAATTCACTTGTAGTCAGAAAACATACTTTGTATGATTAGACCATTTTTCTATGTATTGAGATTTACTTTATGACCCAGAATATGGTCTGTCTTGCTAGGTGTTACAAGTATTTTTTTGTTAAGATTTATTTATTTATTTATGCATACAAGAACTGGGGCACAGCCAGCGGTGCAGGAGGTGAGAGGATTCACCAGAGACAGATTGGGAACAGAACAGACAGACTGACTGAAATACACTGCTGAGGGGAGCAGCGGGCAACACAGGAGAGGTCTGCTGCACCATGTGGGTAGCTCCCTGGCCGGTGATTGAACTCGTGCTGCAGAGGCTATGGATAGCTTCATAGTGTTGCATCTTAACCCCTTGCACCACAGGGAGTCCCCACAAGTATTTTTAAAAACATGTATTGTTTTGCTTGAGAGTGGTGTGTGCTATAATTGTCAATTAAGTCAAGTTGGTTGATAATGTTGTTCAAGGCTTCTATTTCCTTATGAACTTTCTTTCTATTCTCTTATTATTGAAAGAGGGATATTGAAATCTCTGCCTGTGACTGTGGATTTATTCTTTCCTGTTTTTTTTGATAGTAGCCACCCTAAAGGTTGTGTACATATTTGAAAGATATTCGGTATGGAATTGCAGGCTGATATTTTTTTTTCAGTAATTGAAAGATGCTGAACTGTCTTCTTCTTTGCATGGTTTCCAAAAAGCTTACCTTTGTTCCTCTGCATGTACTGTGTCTTTTTTGTCCTCTGACTGCATTTAAGATTTCTTCTTTATTGCTAGTTTTGAGCAGTTTTATTGTGAAGTGCCTTGGTATTGCTTTCTTCATAATCCAGGTGCTTGGCATTAATTGTAAATTTTGATGAAATTTGGAAAATTCAGGGCCTTTATTTATTCAGCTATTTTTTTCTGTCCCCTCCTCTCTCTCCTTTGAGAATATCCAGATGGAAGAGATGTGTAGGGCAAGGTATGAGGAAGAATATGGAGCTTCTATGTTCTATCCAGTTCCACCATGCTCCATGTGTTCACCAGCCTTGCCATCAGGCCACTGAAGTTGTTCCACAGCTCAGCTCTCTGATAAGCTGTTCATTTTTAATTTACTGTTCTTTTCTTCTGCAGTGTCTAATTTGCCATCAATCCCAGCCAGTATATTTTTCATCTCAGATGTTGTAGTCTTCATTTCTAAAAGTTTGATATCGGTCTTTTTACTATCTATTTAATCTCTACTTAATTCTCTGAACAAAAGGAAAATAGTACTAATAACTATTTTAATGTCCTTGTTTGCTAATTTTAATACCTGTGATAATTTTGGGTGTGTTTTCTGAAAACATTTTACTTTTCATTATGGATCAAATTTTCCGCCTCTTTGCGTGCCTGGTAAACCGTGATTGGATTTTAAACTTCATGAACTTTACTTTATTGGGTATTGTAGTCCCAGAAATCTCTTTATGCTTGTCCTGTGAGACAACCAAGTTACTGGGAAGTAATTTGGTCCTGTTAGGTCTTGAGATTTCAGGTGGGATCAGAACAGCATTTAGATCTGGGGGTAATTTCTCCCCACTGCTGACACAAGACCATTCTAATGACTCTACCCAGTGCCCTGTGAATCATGAGGTTTTTCAGTCCAGCTTGTGAGAATAGGCCACAATATTTCCTGCCATCTGAGCCCTGACACTATTGCACATTACCCTTTCCAGTGGTTCTTTCCCTGGCCTTAGCCTCAGGTAATAGCCTTGTGTGGGTATAATTTTCTCCTCTCCAGTACTCTGTCCTGCGATTTTATTCACCTTGGTCTTTGTCTTGCAATTCTTTCACCTTGGTCTTCTGGGCTCACAACCCGGAGTCCCCTGGGCTGTACCTGGCCTCCCTTTCCTGCATGCCTTAACTCCAGGCAGCTAGCTGGCACATTCCCAGAACTCACCTGGTTTGTTGCCTGTCTCTCTCTCTCAGTGATCATTTACTTCACTGCCCGATGTCCTCTCTGTTGAAAACTTCTATTTCATGTATTTTGCCTGCTTTGTGGTTTTTTATGTGTTTTTTTTTTTTTTTTGTGGTTGTGTGTGTGTGTGTGTGTGTGTGTGTGTGTGTTTAAGGCAGCAGGGTACATCTGTTCCCTGTTGCTCTATCTTGGCTAGAAGCAGAAGTTCACATGATGGCATGTTAATGTGTTTATTAAAAATTGTGTTTCCCAACATTTAATGATAAGAGGTGATAATCATAGTAAGTTTTAAATTTTAAAAAGCAAGAAAAGTATGTGTATGTGTTTGTGTATAAAACATAAAAAAGTTATGCAGATATGCATGGAAAAAGACTGAGAGTAAATTCTCTGGTATTAGCATTGATAATTCTGAAAAACTGTAGAAGGATGGATGATTATATGCTGTTTCTTCCAAATAAATGAGTATTTTCCCCCCTATAATCTAGAGGAAAAAGAAAGTAAGTGTAAAGATATGTGAAAGGATAAGATTATACACTAGGGAACACCAGAGCCAGAAGCCCCATTTGCTGTAATAAAAGGCGTGGAATGCTCTAGAAAAGGGCTGTAGCAGCCGTGGAGGGTTGCCTGCCCTCTTTGTCATGAAGGTTTGTCACAGTGCCATCTGTGTGCAGAAGCCTCCGTCGGACCTGGAAGCCTGCTTGTGACTCAGTTGTCTCTTTTTGTGTCAACAGATTGTCCGCGTGGAGCCCTTGGTGACCATGGGTCAGGTAACTGCCCTTCTGACTTCCATTGGCTGGACTCTGCCTGTGCTGCCGGAGCTGGATGACCTCACAGTGGGTGAGGACTTAGTCAACCCTAGATCAGGCCTGAGGCGCCTTGGCCCTCTTCCTGCCCAGTTCAGGAGTCACCCCATCCCATCTATGACAGAAGTCATCCTGTCTCTACTTGCCCAACTTCAAAGAGAGGGTGTCCACTGCCGCCATCTACCTCTGAATAGCTCAAATTATGAGATAGCACTTTCTCATCTCTAACTCCAATCTGTTTCCTTGTGACCTATATCCTTTGCTCCAGTTCTAGCCTCTGGGCACTCAGAATAAACCTAGTCTGTCATTCCTTCTATGGAATTCATGGTCCACAAAGCCTTGTCTTCTTTGGGGGAAATACTTTCTGTTCCTTTAACTGTTCCCATAGAACACATTTCCCACCACAGATCTAACCCTCCTTTTCATTAAAGTCCCTCCAAATGTGCTCACAAGTTTGTAAGTTGGGTCTGGCCAGAGGTAAGGGTGTGATGTCCTGATGGGGTTCTCCTACCACCTCCCCCACCCCCCGAGCAAACCCTCACACTCCCAGCTTAGCCCTTCCTCTCTCCTCTCTAGATCCACAGAGACAGGATAGCCCATATAACCCTCCTTCATGCTTTAGCTTCCCTAGCTCCACTGAAGTTCCCTTTACCCTATTCTCCCCAAACTTGCCCCCTGCAATTCCACCTGGCTAACATGTGTGTCTCTGCAGGGGGTTTGATCATGGGCACGGGCATCGAATCATCATCCCACAAGTATGGCCTGTTCCAGCATATCTGCACAGCCTACGAACTGGTCCTGGCCGATGGCAGCTTTGTACGGTGCACACCGGTGAGCTCAGAGACAGGAAACAGTCCCACCAGCCAACCCTGGGCATCTAGAACCCTGGAGTTGGGGAGCTGGCTCCCCAGGGGTGCTTCATTTCAAATACAGTTGTTCAGCCTGTGTCTATATCCAGACTATGTGCTCAGACACTGTTGTTAATGCTTCATGTATATTAAGGCATTTAATTAATTCAACAACTTTAGAGATAGGTACTATTATTAGCCACAATATACAGATAGGAAACTAAGAAGAAGTGACTGTACTTCCCCAAGGTTTTCACGCCCAGATTATGGGTTCCCAGGTCAGTGTCCTTCGCCATTCACTGCACCACATTGGAGCCTCCGCTTCTGAGCTCTATATCACAAACTGTGAGGAACTTTTTTTGGACAAATGGAAGACACTTCTACTGGGCATTTTTTGCTAAGGTGTGGGATGGGATTGAAACTAAAATAAGCTCAGCTCTCTCCCAGCGTATCTAAGAGACACCCGGAATGAGGGGGACAGGCCTCTACATTAGTAGTAGATGTTCAAAGAGGTCCCCAGAGATGCTGGCCTCTTGGAAGAGTCCAGGGCGGGACTCTGGCTTGAGATCTCTGGACTTGGACAAGAGAAACCCCTTTCCGGAGTCATGTCAATTCATCACATTTCCCTAGATGACTGGCTGGGCCCTGCCTTCTGACCTATTTATTGCCAACAGAGAAAGGAGACAAATATTTGTGAAGTACTTCCCTTCTCTGACAAATGTTTTCAGGAGGAAAACTAGATGCTTGGGTGAAGCTCCTAACATAAATCTGAGCACAGGGCAGGCACCTGGTTATTACTGCTGCCATCTGTACCCCATATGGTAGGAACCAGAGATACTAGCTTGGCCCACTTCTGCTGTTCTGGAGGCTTCTGTCCTGCAGAGCTTCCCTGTTCCACCCCCTAGTCCAACTGTACCCCACTCCTTTTCACAAGGAGCTTTATTATAATAAAAGAATCCATTTGAATTGGCCATATGGAAAGTCAGCTCTCTATTTCCAAGACAAATACCAGAACAAGAAAATGATCATTTGAAGCAGGTTTGTGAAGCCAGGTGAGGTGTTGCAGTTAAACACTGGATGGGAATAAGTCACTGCACTGACTTCTGGGGAGCCTTGGCTGAGCCATGTCACCTCTGAGCACCTTGCTTTCCTTACCTGTTCAGGTGGGAGTGCTAGTGCTTCCTGAGGCTCTGTGTTGGGGGTGGAGTGTCCATCCGCAGCTAATGGATGGGAAAGGCTTTGTGAATGTAGGTAATGGCCCAAAAGGAGGCATTTTAATGTCCCCTTCAACCCTGACCTTTAGTGCCCCATTTTGGGTCTGTGGGCAGTGGGGTTGCGGCCTCCCCCTGAATAGGCCAGGGGCCGCCCAGTGGAGAAGGGTGGAGGCGTTCTCTGTGGGCATCCCTAATAGAGGGCGATGGAAGGTCAAATGTCGTTGCCGAGGGAAAACTGAGGTCCAGAAAGTTTACGAAGTTCCTTGTTGGAGTTTACACAAGATGGTGATAGAGCAGGAATTTAGCCTGGTTCCTCATGCCCCTGTTGACCGTGTGCAGTAACTTGGAGTCCAGAGTTCAAGTTCTTGCCATGTGTTCACTCCCTCACAGTCGGAAAACTCAGACCTGTTCTATGCTGTGCCCTGGTCCTGTGGAACCCTGGGCTTCCTGGTAGCTGCCGAGATTCGCATCATCCCTGCCAAGAAGTACGTCAAGCTGAGGTTTGAGCCCGTGAGAGGCCTGGAGGCTATCTGCGACAAGTTCACCCGTGAGTCCCAGCGGCTGGAGAACCACTTCGTGGAAGGCCTGCTCTACTCCCTGGATGAGGCCGTCATCATGACCGGGGTCCTGACGGATGAGGCAGAGCCCAGCAAGGTAGGCGGGGCAGCAGCTGCCCTGGAAAAGGTCCAGGGAAAAGGCCTGGGTGTGTCGGGTGGAGCCACGGCCCCACCCCTATCTTGGCAGCTACCCTGTTAATGCGTGTCCTGGACCAGCTCACCTGGGACTCGGGCCAGAGGATCTTCTCATCAGAGCTCACCCCTTTACTCTGCCTCCACTTGTGTGTCTTGCTAGGTGTGATCTTTGAGCCTCACAGCAACCCCATTTTATAGATGAGGAAACCGAGTCCAAGAGATCATGTGAGCGTCCACAGAATGATACAGCCAATATTTGAGGAATTAATTTGATGCTTCAGAATCTAGATTGCCACTCCTACAGCTCACATTATGCATTTTTTTTATTAAAGATTTATTTTTTATTTATTTATGCATACAAGTGCTGGGGTGTAGGCCAGAGGTGCGGGAATTGAGAAGAGATTCACCAGAGACAGAGTAGGGAGCAGAACAGGTAGGCTGACTGAAATACATTGCAGAGGGGAGCAGCAGGCAAGACAGGAGACTGTGTCATGCTGGTTGGCTCCCTGGCTGTGGATTGAACTCTTGCTGCAGTGGCTGCATTGCTTTATAGTGCTGACGCTTAACCCCTTGCGCCACCAGGGAGGTCCCTATTTTTTATTTATTTTTTAAATTTATTTATTTATGCACACAAGAACTGGGGTACAGGCCAGAGGTGTGGGGGTGAGAGGATTCACTAGAGACAGTGGGGAACAAAACAGGCAGATTGACTGAAATACATTGCTGAGGGGAGCAGCGGGCGAAACAGGAGATGTCTGCTGTGCCAGGTGGGTTAACCCACTGGCCAGGGATTGAACCCGTGCTGCAGTGGCTGCTGAGAGCTTCACAGTGCTGAGACTCAACCCCTTGCGCCACCAGGGAGGCCCACAATTTTTTTTTTTTTTCCTGTGGGACCCTCGCCGGTGGCCGGGGATCGAACTGGCACTGCAGAGGCTGTGGGCAGCCTCCCAACCCAGCACTCAACCGCTGTGCCACTGGGGAGTCCCAGGCTCACAATTTTTAATAGCAATTTTTAATAGCGGTTTTTCCTCCATTTAGAAAGGATTTGTCCTTATTATGAGAGTCTTAGAGAGTTGTAGACAAGTAAAAAGAAAGAAAAGACTGCCTATAACCACGAAGCAAAGCCAGCTGTGTTTGGTAACCAGTCTATTTATTTCCCTTCCTTTGGTGCAGTGCATAGATTTTTCTTTTAAGTTTCCAAATCACAAAAGTAGCATCGCAGTGTTGAAATATAGACAGAAAAAGCTGAAGTATATTCCCCAGCCCACCCCAACCCCTCCCTGGCACCCTCCTGGAGTAACCAAAACCACTTAGAATGGTGTGCATTCTTCAAGGCCTCTTTCTGTGAGTGTGAGTGTGAGTGTGGGTGTGTGGCCATGCCCTCATTTCATTCCGTAGAACACCACCATTTTGCATGTAAATAATTAACCTCATTGCTTACTGAGGAGCAATTATATTGCTTAAAATATTTTGCTCTTACAAGCAAGATTACGTTGAAGATTCTTTTACATCTATCCTTGGCTCTTGTATGAACATTTCTATAGGTTTGAGTCCAAAGAAATGGGATTCCCACCCCAAAGGCTAGAGCACATTAAATACAGGCGTAGCTCCTTTTAGTTTCTTTTAAGTTTCTTTTTTCTCTTCATTGCACTCTGCAGATACTGCCTTTTTCTTTACAAATTGAAGATTTTGGCAACCCTGCATTGAACAAGTCTATTGGCGCCACCTTTCTAACAGCAAATGCTCACTTTTATCTCTATGTCCCATTTACACACTTAATGGATTGCAGTAAAGTGTAAACATATGCACTGAGAAACCAAAACATTCATTTGACTCACTTCATTGTGACACTTTATTGGAGCGGCTGCAAGATCTGGGAGGTGCCTGTGCTGACAGCTGTCACCAAGGGGCCCTCTGAGAAAGTTGTGCTGCAGGCCACTCAGGGATGGTGTGTGAGGATGCCCTTCCTTGCATCCTTGCCAACCCAGATAGTATTGCTCTTTCATTTTTGCCAATCTGAAAGGGTTAAAAATAGTGTCTCATGTTATTTTGCAATTTTCAGGTTAATTACAAGGTTGAACATCTTCTTGTGCAGTTTTTTGGTTTCTTGGTCTTCAGTTGTGATCACCTGTTCAAATTTGTGTTTTCATCTTTGTATCGTGATGAGCATTTCTCCATGTTGTGTCTTCCAAACCGTCACAACTGCGAAACATGGGCATTAAGTGAAAGTCCATCACTGACTAAATCGCTGCCCCATAATTGAAATTTCAAGTTGCTTCCACTTTTTCATGATTCTAATTAGTGTAGCAATGAGTATGTTTTGTCTATAATTTGACTAATATCTTAAAGTAGAATTAGCAGATCAGAGGATAGGTACTCTTTATTTATTTTTTTTTTTAAAGATTTATTTATTTATTTATACATGCACTGGGTACAGTCAGAAGCGCGGGAGGGTGAGAGAATTCACCAGAGCCAGAGCGGGGAGCAGAGCAGGCAGAAGAACTGAAATACACTGCTGAGGGGAGCAGCGGGCGGCAGAAGGGGTCTGCGCGCCATGTGGGACCCCCCTCCGGTGGCCGGCCAGGGAGCAGCTGGGAATCGAACCAGCGCTGCAGAGGCTGTGGGCAGCTTCGCAATCCAGTGCTCAACCGCTGCGCCACCGGGGAGGCCCCAGGATAGGTACTCTTTAGATGCTTCGGTACCCACATACATAAAATGTTTTAAAATTGGAAAGGACTTGAAAATCATGTGGTGCAGTTCCTTCTGCAAAGGAAATGAATAAGAAAGGGACTGCTCTGAAGACACAGCTAGCTTGGGGCAGTTTTGTGGGGTTTTTTTTAAAGATTGATTGATTTATTTATGCATATAAGAACTGGGGTACAGGCCAGAGGTGCAGGTGTGGGAGTGAGAGGATTCACCAGAGACAGAGTGGGGAGCAGAACAGGCAGATCTACTAAAATACACTGCTGAGGGGAGAGGTGGGCGAGGCAGGAGAGGTCTGCTGTGCCATGTGGGATGCTCCCTGGCTGGTTGACAGGGGATCCAATTCATGCTGCAGTGGCTGGCAATAGCTTGATAGCGCTGTCTTTAATCCCTGCACTGCCAGGAAAGCCCTTGGGGCAGTTTTAAACTTGGATCTGTGACTCCTCCTTTAGTATTTGGTGTCCTCCTTTCAACCTGTAGAACATGGCATCATCCACAAACATTGATGGAGCCCCCATTCCCTGTGGGGCACTGTATGGCGTGGAGGATGGGATATTAGAGCAGGAGCAGGAAAGCTGCACATGGAGTCCAAGGGCCCTGGCTCTGCCGTATCCTGGCCCCAGCCTGGTCGGCATTGGTCGCCCAGCCCCTCTGACCTGACAAGGATATCTAGGCCAGAGCTGGTCCAGCTTCTCTGAGACATTGCCCTAGAGGCTGCCAGTGGCGATAAACTGAGGAAGGGGGTCAACAGCAACACCACCCTCACTGTACCCATACTTCTGACATCTGTCTGATGTACTAGAGCCCTTTTCAGGTTACAAATAGGCAGCAGGAGTCATACCGCTTTTGAAATATTTGAATGTGCTGCTCTTATTCCCCAAGAAGATCAGACTTCTTTTTTGAGGAGCACTGCTTCTAGTTTGGCAGGCTGCTCAGGAATCAGTGAAGCGGCACTTAAGGCAGGCCCAATGTGGCCCTGCAAGAGGCAGCCCACCCCCATTTTACAGGGGAGCCCAGAGAGAGAAAGTAGCTGACTAGCTAAGTGCTGAACTGGAGCTTGGGTAGCAGCTGTGGAGAGATGGGCTCTCCGGGTTCTCACTCATATCCTGGGCTTCCCTGGCATCAAGGTTCCTGATGAGGCCTGGAACATCAGGTACCCCAAGTCTTGATTTCGTTATGCAGCTGGTGCCACTCAGGTGTGTGGCCAGGCCCCACCTGGGCTTAGATCAGGTTGCTATGTTCCTGTTTAGCAGGCCGAGCCAGCCTATAGTGTCTTTTGCCCTGTCCCATGCTATCTACGCTGAAACCGGCTTGGACAGACAGGTTCTTTAGCTCCAGTTCCTGCCACATTGTGGCCCCTGGTCCTCCGTGCAGAGTGACCTGAGGCACAGTGGGCCTGTACCCAGCTAGGCAGCAAGGGTTGGAAGCCAGAGATGGAGTTTGCCTGGCTCCAGGGTAGGGGATGGGGAGGGGTGAATGGCCAGTGGGGGGGCCAATAAAAGCGTGTCCCCACTACGGGTAGCACTTTTTTTTTTTTAGTCTTCCCAACCAGTCCAGTAGGTCAGCAATGTGTCCACACTGCCTGTACAGAAATGAGGCTCAGAGAGGCTAAGTAACCTGACAAAGATCAGCCCAGTGTGTTTTAAGTGGGAAAAGCAAATTGGCAAATAGCATAGGATGGTCCTAATTTTCTAAATCAGCGTGTGTCTGTACATAGAAAATAAAACCTACTGTTTGATTTTTTTTTTAAAGATCTATTCATTTATGCACACAAGAGCTGGGGTACAGGCCAGCGGTGCAGGGGGGTGAGAGGATTCACCAGAGACAGAGTGAGGAACAGAAGAGGCAGATGGACCGGAGTACACAGCTGAGGGTTGTAGCGGGGGAGCGAGGAGAGGTCTGCTGTGCCATGTGGGCTGCTCCCTGGCATGGCTGCTCCCTGGCGGGGGATCGAACTCGTGCTGCAGAGGCTGCTGGCAGCCTCACAGGCTGCATCTTAACCCTCCCGCCACCAGGGAGGCCCCAAAACCTACTGAATTTAAGCCAGCTTTTGTACCGCTCAAGGGTGGGTATTCTCTTTTCCAAATTACATATTTCTACAGTGTTTTAAGTATCATCAAGAGTTTATGTTGCTTTTGGAATCAGAAAAACATTTTATGTTTGTTTTTGATAATGCCCACACGCCAGAGCCCACCATTCAGGTCTCTGCCATCTGACCTTAGCCTTGTTTTGCAATGTGGGATGGTTTAAGTCTTTGTCCTGCCCCTTGCCAGCCCTGTGGCCTCGGGTCATCTATCTGACCTGATGATTCTTGGTTTCCTTATCAGTGAGACAGGGCCGGCCCAGCCGTGCAAGGTGGCGCAGAGGATGGAGAGCTGATGGGTGGGTGGGCCTGCCCTGAGCACAGGCACTGAGCATGTGGTGGTGATTATTCTCCACACCCCTCCCTGGGCTCACTCAGCTTCTGTTCCTGCCTTCTTTCCTGATGATCTCCAGCCACATTACCCCTCTCCTCCAGGACTTCCACTTGACTGTTGCCTAATCCTTTCCAGGGCCGGTTGGTATGATCTTACCTGCCCCATAAAATGTGCTGCCTCTCCCACCCCCTCAAGGAGCTGGTCTGACATGGGGCCTGTGCGTGGGTGTGTGTGTAATTTCTAATAGGCACAACAAAACTTATACAAAGTGTATAATTTTATTACCATTGTGCAGGTAAAGAAACATTTCTAGAGAGACCTGCCCCTGGCACGCAACTAGTGGTTGAGTGAACCAGGGTCTCCTGGTTGGCCCCCTGCCGCCCAACCTGGAGCCTCTGCTCCTTCCAGGCAGCCTCTGTGCTTTTCCCTGAAAGCACCTGCCCAGCATCCATTTCACAGATGAGGAAGCTGAGACCCAGAGAGGCTAAATCACCCTGGGACACGTAGCAGGTGGTGCTGGAGAGGCACAGGAGCTTCCTCCCGTGGTGGTGGCCGGGGGCAGTGCTGCGCCCAGACGGTTGTGGGCTTAGCCTGGGGCGGCAGGAAGAGTGCCGGGTTAATTAGTGCTGTCAGCCAGGATCCAGCGAGGAGGAGATGATCATGCTCTGTGGGGGCAGCTCTCCTGCCTGGAGCCCTGCATTATGGAGATGCCCTTCCACATGCGCCCTTGGGGTGTCTCTCCCGGGGAAGGAGGCACAGACTAAAATGAGGTCGCTGAGCTCTCTAGACAGCGGTCAGGAATGAGCTGTTGGGCCCTGGGCATACCACTTAACCTCTTTGAGCTTCTGCTCTCTCTGCTAGTGAATCCCTGCTATGCTTAACCTCACCGGGCTTTCAGAGTCTCAAACGCGATAATAGACAGGGAAGAGCTTTGAAAAGGCCAGGAGTGCTGAACAGAAGCCGGGTATCGCCCTTACACCCTGACGTCATTCGGTGCTTGTCTGCGGGCTGACACGGTGCCCTCTGTCATTTCAGCTGAATAGCATTGGCAATTACTACAAGCCGTGGTTCTTCAAGCACGTGGAGAACTACCTGAAGACAAATCGACAGGGCCTGGAATACATTCCCCTGAGACACTACTACCACCGGCACACGCGCAGCATCTTCTGGGAACTCCAGGTGAAGCTCGGGTTTCCCAACAGCCCTGGCTCCTCCAAGCCGGGCGGGCAGGGAACCAGGACGGGTAACATTGCAGCCACACTCTCTCGGGGGGAAAAAAGTGGCTTCGGCCTGAGGTACTGAACGCCCTCGCAGGGATGCTGTCCTTTCCTTTTAAGGGAACCGACCATCTTCACTTAACAGCAGGCTCTCTCTCACTGAGCATCTGAGCCAGATACTTTGGGGAAAACTGACCCCGTCCATCCTGGAGGAACTGAAGCTTAGCCAAGCAGACAGACGGGCTCTGTGCAGGACCCAGGAACAGGAAGTAGCTAGTTCTGCCTAGGGCCAAAGGTCACCGGCAAATTGGGTCTTGAGCAGTGAGCAAGAATTTGCTGTGGTGCGGGGAGAGCTGGGGAGCAGTGATGTTTCAAGTGTGCGGGGGGTGGGTCAGGGAAGGTCTCTCGGGAGATGTGTTGTTAGCAGAGACCTGAACTTCTGGAGGACAAGTCTCACAACTCCAGGGAAGGATGCCCCAGGCACGGGCGGCCCCAGAGCACCAGGCCTCAAATTTATTGCCAGGGTTATTTTTTCTTTTTTCTAAAGATTGACATGAAATCATATAACATAAAATCAACCATTTCAAGGTATACATGTCAGTGGTATTTAGTATGTTCGCGTCTGTCTAGTTCCAAACACTGTTATCACTCCAGAAGGAAACTCCTTCCCCATTAAGCAGTTACTCCCCCTTACCCCTTCTGTCTCATCCCCTTCCCCAGCCCTATCTCTATGGATTCGCCTGTTCTGGATAGGTCATATCAGTGGGTACATACAACATGTGGCCTTTATATCTGGTTTCTTTCATGGAGCATCATATTTTCAAGGTCCACCCCCATGGAAGACTGTGTCAGTACAGGCATGCATCACACAATAACATTTAATCAACAAAGGACCAGAGGATGGTCCCAGGAGGCTATCCCATTAGCCTAGTGTTTATTTGACTATACTATCTAGTTTATAAGGTAGGACTATGATATTCATACAGTGATGAAGTCATGTTTCTCAGGCTGTATCCCTGTTGCTAAGCAACACATGGCTGTCCATCATTTCCTTTTTAACAGCTGGCTAATACTCCACTGTATGGAAACACCACATTTTGTTTTTCTCCTCCTCTGTGGACAGACATTTGAGTGGATTCCACCTGTTGGTATTTTGAATCACACTGCTATGAACACTCACGTACAAGTATTTGTTTGAGTACTAGCTTTCTTTTCTTTTGGTATATGCTTAGCAATGGAATTTCTGGGTCATAGGGTCACTCAATGTCTAACTTAGTGAGAAATGGTCAAGCTGTTTTCCACCATGGCACAACCATTTTACCTTGCTACCAATTGCATAAGGTTCTAGTTTCTCAACTTTCTCACCAACACTTGCTAGTTTTATTATTTTTTTAATTATAGCTGTCCTAATGGGTGTGAAGTAGAATTTCATCATGATTTTGCATTTCCCCTAATGACTAATGATGTTGAGCATCCTTTTATGCGCATGTTGGCCATTTGTGTGGTTTTTGAAGTAGTACCTGTCTACTCCTTGCACAGTTGTAATTGGATTATTTGTGTGTTGTTGAGTTATAAGTTTTCTAGACTCTTACCAGATACATGATTTGCAGATATTTTATCCCATTCTGTACACTGTCTTTTCACTCCCCCAGTAAAGCCTCAGTGTGCATACATGTTTAGTTTTGATGAAGTATGGCTTATCTATGTTTTTCTTTTGTTACTTATGCCTTTAGTGTCATTTCTAACAATCCATTAGCAAAGTTTTAAGGTCATGAAGATTTAGTCCTATGTTTTCTTCTAAGAACTTTATGGTTTTAGCGCCTATATTTAGGTTGTTGATCCATTTTTCATTAAGTTTTATATATTGTGTGAGCTGGGGTCTAACATTCTGGGCATGATAAATGTCAGGAGAGGGCTTTGCACAAAAAAAGTTAATGACCTGATTTTTGTTTTAAAAGAATAGCACTGAACTCTGGAGAATAGATGGTGGGTATGGGTATGGAGGGTGGACAAGATTGGAAGAATAGAAGAAAGATTTTATTGTCCAGGGAGGTAGCAGTGGAGGTAGAAAGAAGTGTCAGATCTGGGAGGTAAATGTGAAGATTGAACCAAACAATAGAATTTCCAGACAGATTAGCCATGGTGTGATTTCAAGTTTTGGGGCCCAAGCAACAGGGTGATTGGATGATGTGGAAGAGGGATGGGTGATGTGGAAGAGGGATCTTGGAAGGGAGATTGGAAGTTTGGTCCAGGACACATCGTCTGAGAGGGCTTTCAGACATTGGGTGGGACGCTGAGCAGGCAGCCCTTCTCCAGGGCTGAGCAGTGGCAGCACACATCATGTGGACATCAGCAGCCGTGGGAGTAGATGAGTGAGACAGCATGGGGAAGAAAAGTCCCTGAACCAAGCCCTGGGCCACCCTGCAGATTAGGAGAGAAGGGTCAGAGGGCAGGAGAGAACCTGGGAGAACTGGCACCCCAGACACCCAGGGAAGACACTGTCAGGAAGGAAGATGAACAGTTGTGTCAAGTGCTACTGAGTGACTTCAGTGTGCTGAGTGACCAGAGTGGACCTCTGGTCTTAGCTGCAAGAGGGTCACTGTGACTTAGAGCAGTAGGAGTTCAAGAGAAAAAAGAGTAGGAAAGACTGAACAGATTTTAAATCACAGCTTTAGGGATCAAGTGAGGTTTGTCTTATGGTCTTGTGCTTTCAACACTGACCTGTAATTTTTGAAATTAAAAGAAGAATCTTCAAGGATGGATATTTTAAGGCTAAGATTTGCACACAGGAAGTTTATTCTGGAGAACTCTCTGAAGCCTCAGCTGTGAGGGACAGAGGAAGCAGGGTAGATAGAGGGAGCAGTTGAGCTTTTACACAGTCACAGCAAAAGCTGCCTTCAGCCCAGGGCAGCTCCCTGGAGAGGTATTAGCTGGATGGTCTGCAACCAGCACCCCCACAAGGAGGGGTTGTGTGCCTTCCTGGAGGCGGCATCTGAGTGGAGGAGCGCCAAGGTGTCCATTGCAGTAGAAGTACAGAAGCCAGGATACTTCTAGAAAGAAAGTGATAAGCAGTTTCAAGTGTATGTCTTTTCCCCTCTCTCCCAGGTTAACTCCTTATCTTCCTGTTGGCAGCCCTCCCCCAGATTCCTCCCTGCCCAGCTGGGCCCTTCAGCAAGCCAAATGTGCCAGGCCTTGGGGCTTAACCCTTAGGAAGTTGCTGTCTAGAGGATCAGTCCGTTCCTACCACAACCGGGCCAGGTCTGGCTGGTTCAGGTCTTTCCCCCTCTCAATCAACAATATTTGGGGTCAGGACCAGATAATTCGCAGGGTCCAGTGCAAAAAGCAGGAGAAAAACTTGAAGGTCCTAAATTGTAAAATTTTTCCTTCCTTCCATGGTCTCTCCCTTATAAGAAATATTTGCTATTTAATATTGTTCTAAGTAAGGAAAAATAAAAAAATTAAATGACTATCATGAATGTTCCTGCTTTTAAATACAAATATGGGAGCATTTGAACTTTTCACGCATATGTAGTTCATTCTTAAAAGACCCTTGGAAACACTGCAGTAAACTCATTCACCTGTTTAGGTTTCATTTCTTGCTGACTCGCACATTCTGCCAGCACTCCATGGGGCTTACAGGTGAATAATGAAGGGCAGAAAAGAATGGGGACTCTGGACAGCCCTGTCTTCCCTTCCCCTGTCCGTCATCACTTTCAGCCAGCCTAAGAAGTTGGCCGATACAGTGACATCACACCAATAAGAGGACCGGCAGGCCCTGGTTGGGCATGCTGTGTAGGATGCTGTTGTCACGGGGCCTGTCTCTGGGGCCGGGGGTCCTGGCTCAGGCTGGGTTGCTCTGACCTGTCACGAAGCCCAGCAGAGCAGATGAGCTGGTCACAGACTAGGCGCAAGTAAAGCACAAGAGCAGCTTAGGGGAAAGAGCCAGGAGGGAAGCCAGGGACACAGGACCCTGGGTCACTCAGAGGCAGCAGAATGACTTGTGGGGTAGGTCAGGTGGGAAGGCAGATGAGCAGGATACAAACTTGAACTTTCTGAGGTTGAGACTTTGGGAATATGTGGGTCTGGTTGGCATTTTTGACTAGCAAAGGACTGTTTTGTTCAGGGGAGGGCACGCAAATGGCTTTTAAATGTGAGAAAAAAGATGCAGTCTCACTCAGAATTAAAGAGCAGGGAAAGGAAACTGGAGGAGCCTCACTTCTCACCTATCAGAATGACAGAGATCCAGAAGTCTGATCACATGCAGTGCTGGCAAGGCCAGGGGATACTGCGCCCTGCTCCCTTGTCTGGGCAAGTATAACATAGTACAAGCTCCTGAAGGCATGGCCATTAGAATTGCACACACTGAGTTTCCACTTTAGAAATTTATAGTTAGATGTACATATAAATGAATGAAGACATATCAAGGATATTCAATGGAATATCTAAATAATCTAAATTTATTAATGTAAAATGAATTATGGTGCATCCTTACAATAGAGCAGAAGTCAGCAAACCTTCTCTGCAAAGGACCAAGTAGGAATGGAGGTTGTGTGGACCTTGAGGTCTCTCTAGGAGCTGCTCTTCCTTCCCAACCTGAAAGTAGCCACAGACAATAAGTATGTGAATGAGTGGGTATGGCTGTGCTAATAAAACTTTATTGAGAGATCTAGAGTGTGGGCTGGATTTGTCCTGGGGCCATAGTTCATGGATCCCTGCAGGACATTGTTAGGCTCAGGGTTCTGTGTGCTGATGCACTGAGTGCTGTGATATGCAGGAGGCCACAAGATGCTACTAAAGTTCATCTGCTTGTTATGCATCACGTAACAAGAAGTGTCCAGAAATGTCTCCAGAAGTGTCCACAAATCATTTATAACAGTCGTGCCTTTCGGAGGGGAAAGAGGTCAGATTGGGGAAGGAACGGAGTGGGGTCAGGGCTGAGAAAGAGGAGGCTTAACCTTTGTACTGTTGAGATTTCTGCTGTGCACATGTGTGACTTCCAAAAACAGTCAAAGAAACAATAAAAGCCATGCTGTGTGCTGGGCCCTTACAGAGAAAAGAGCAGAGAGGTCCCTCCCTCCTGAGGAGGGGATTCCAGGCGAGTAAAGGGGAAGAGTCACCTGCCTTCAATGTTAAGATAGTGGTTTCTCTGGGAAGCCACCCAGCCCTGGTCTGATGGGCTGCCTCTGCATCTCTTTGTCCCCACTTCCTCACACTCGTCCTGTAGCTGCCTCGGTTATCTTGGTATCCCCGGTGCCCAGCAAAGAACCTGGTACTTGACTTGGTAGGTCCCTGGTCATTGATGGATGGAGTGTCCTTGGCCTCAAGGGCCCAGGAGCTGTGAGACTGGGCTATCAGGTGAGCACTGGCAATGGCCAGGAAGATGGTGAGCAGGGAGCTGAGTCTTCACTGTCAGGGGTGAACAGGGTTGCCAGCTAGTGGGAGCCATGGAGGAACTGGTGGGGCGCAGAGGGTATCATCAGAAAGCAGCAGTGCTAAATGAAGTGGCACCCGGGGACCCCCAAACTTGCACGCTCTGAAGAGGTCTGGCTATCCATGCGCACAAAGGCAAATCAGACATTAAGTGTGAAAGAACTTAAATAGAATTAGCGAGCATAGAGCAAGAAGACAAGAAAGGATAATAGCTTCCCAATGAAACTGTATGCACTCTAATTCCAGATTACCCATCCCCTCATGGGTAAATACCTAGCCAAACAGGGTGGGCCTGAAGCGAGGACCAAAAGCTTGCCACAAGTCTAAGACACCTTGTAGGGAACCATCAGAAAGATGTTCTGAAGCAAGTTCCAGAAAGCTGGGACAAAAGTAATTATGGCATAAAGATAATGGCTGCCACTGTCAAGCTCCCCACGTGTCTCCGCCCATGTCTTTCTGAAGTGTCTGCCTGTCTCTCTTCCGTGTGTCTCCTTCCATGTCACCTTCCCAGCAGTACCAGGGTGCAAGTGAGACAGAAGCAAGAGCTCTCCTTAACCCACCTGCCTTCACCTGGCCTCTTAGCCGGCCCTCGTTCCCAGCAGCTAGTCTAAGGGGACTGCATGTAAGAGGAGGCAGGGTATGTGGTATCAACCAGACAGCTTGCTCTTTTGTGGCTGGAGACATGGAAGAGAAAAGACAGCTCTGCAGGGGAGGATTGCCAGAGCCGGGGTTGGGAGAGGCAGGAGGGCTGGCACTGTGCAGGGCATGGGAACAGGAAGTGGCCAGTCTGTCTAGACTTAGGCATTGTCATCAAGCTTGGCCTTTAGAGGTGGACAAGAATTTGCTGTTGTGTGTGAGGGGATGGGGAGCAGTGATATTTTATTTTTTTAATTTATCCATTCATGCATACAGGCCAGAGATGCAGGGGGTGAGAGGACTCACCAGAGACAGAGTGGGAAACAGAACAGGCAGACCAACCAAAACACAAGCAGTGACATTTTAAATAAGGGGTTCCAGGAATGGAGGCAGACCTCACCCATCCCAGTAAGACCTGTCCCTGGCATGTGACCTTATGGAACTTGCTCAATCTCTCTGGGTATCCTTCTCCTTCAACAGCATTTGTTTCTCAGATATTTTGGAATGCCTTCTGTGTGCCAGCACAGACCTCAGCAACCAGAACTGCAATTACATCTCCCTTCTCGTTTTGCTCCAGGCACTGCACTGAGTGCCTTCCATCTGGTATCTTGTCATTTTATAGATAAGGAAACTGAGCTCAGAGAAGTGAAGTAACTAGCCCAGGGTCATCACAGTGGCTAAATGCCAGAGCTGACACCCAAGCCCAGATCCAACTGGGTAAAGTCCTGGGTACTACTACACCCCTCCAAATAGGTGTGTGCCTGTTGTTCTTACGCTGGGCCCTGGGCGAGGACCTGGCTCCTGGCACGTGGATACGCTCAGCACTTGTCAGTCCCTTCTCTACATTGCCAACTTTCGTCTTGCAGGATATCATCCCCTTCGGCAACAATCCCATCTTCCGCTACCTCTTCGGGTGGATGGTGCCCCCCAAGATCTCCCTCTTGAAGCTGACCCAAGGAGAGACACTGCGCAAGCTGTATGAGCAGCACCACGTGGTCCAGGACATGCTGGTGCCCATGAAGTGCCTGCCACAGGCCCTGCATACCTTCCAAAACGACATCCACGTGAGTGGGGCTGGCCAGGGCGCCTCATAGTGTCCATGGGGTTCCTCCCAAGCCACGTGGCTGACCTTGGGCTCTCCTGCCCTCTGGACTGCTGCTTTCCCAACTATAAACTGCCCCTCCCTCAGCCATGGCCCTGGTACTGAGCACACTGAGCTGCTTGGGCTGTATTCTTCTCTAGATTGGGGTACTCTCAGCCAGGGCTTGGGGGGATGAGGGTGAAGGTATGAGCAGCTAGAAAGAGGGGTCCCTGGAAGAAGTTGTAGAACCTCCCTTTGTGGGGGGCAAAGGGTGCATATGCCTGTCACATATTGGAGACAAAGCGCCAACATTCTCCTTACTGGTCCCCCCAGGTCTACCCCATCTGGTTGTGCCCATTCATCCTGCCCAGCCAGCCGGGCCTGGTGCACCCGAAGGGGGATGAGGCGGAGCTCTATGTGGACATCGGGGCCTATGGGGAGCCGCGTGTCAAACACTTTGAGGCCAGATCCTGCATGAGGCAGTTGGAGAAGTTCGTCCGGAGTGTGCATGGGTGAGTGGGGTTGCTGCTGCAGGCAGAGGGTGGTAGTGCAGGGAAAGGCCCTATATGCCCTATACCAAGCAGCCAGCTATGGGCTGAGAGCAAGACTGGTCATGCAGGGACTCTGGCCGTACTATAATTCAGAAAGCTCAAGGTAAAGGGTAAGGACCTAGACTTAAAGGACTTCTTGCCCCCTTCCTGCATCCCTGTGAACCCCCCACAGCCCCCTGTCAGGGCACACACTAGGCAAGGCTTTGGTTACTTCAGGGGCCACTGCGCCAGGTTGGAAGAGCAAAGCTGAGGGGGGCAGGGATTCACAGCTACAAAAGCCACACAGAGGCCCAGGACAGAGCACTGCGCAGAAAACACCACTGATGGGCCTCCCCGGTGGTGCAGCGGTTCAGCGCTGGGTTGCGAAGCTGCCCGCGGCCTCTGCGGTGCCGGTTCGATCCCCGGCTGCTCCCCGGCCACCGGAGGAGGGTCCCGCATGGTGCGCAGACCTCTCCTGCCGCCCGCTGCTCCCCTCAGCAGTGTACTTCGGTCCTTCTGCCTGCTCTGCTCCCTGCTCTGGCTCTGGTGAATTCTCTCACTCTCCCGCGCTTCTGACTGTACCCAGTGCATGTATAAACAAAACAAACAAACAAACAAATAAAAACATGCCTCTATAAATAAAATAAAAAATAAAAAATGTTTAAAAAAAAAAAAAAAAAGAAAACACCACTGATGTCAGCAACATGGACAAAATCCCAAAAGGATTACGCTGATTAAAAGAGTACCATGTGATTCCATTTCTATAAATTTTCCAGATAATGCCAGGGAATCCATGGTGATTAAAAGCAGATCTGCTTTGGCCGGCCGAGGGTGGTGATAACAGGGGCAAGAGGGAACGTGGAGGTGGAGGTGGCTGTGGTGTTTGTGGTCAGGGGGATGGTTTCGAGGTTGTATGCACATGTCAAAATTACCAAGATGCATACTTTAAATATATGCGTTTATGCAGGAGGAAATAAGGAGAGAGCAGCAGGGACCCCTGGCAGGGAGGTGACCTAGGGGTACTCCAAGCACTGGGGAGAAACCCAGCAGTGTGAGTGCTATTGCTCTGCTCCACTGCTATGCCACTTAGTGGCCTGAGCCTCAGTTTTCCCTCTGCAAAATGGGGATAACAGTTCCTGCACTCTACAGCCTCTAGATCATCAGGGGCTTTTAAACAAGAGAAACCCTCCAAAAGTTCTTCCTGAACTACAAAGCAGCTGCGCATTCAGGACAACAGGGCTTATGTCACTCCATCACCCTCCCTGCCCCCCTGATGCCACCTCCCCACAGTCTCACGCCTGTCTCTGCCCCACAGTTTCCAGATGCTGTATGCTGACTGCTACATGAACCGGGAGGAGTTCTGGGAGATGTTTGACGGCTCCCTGTACCACAAGCTGCGCAAGCAGCTCGGCTGCCAGGACGCCTTCCCCGAGGTGTACGACAAGATCTGCAAGGCCGCCAGGCACTGAGCTGGATCCGCCCGCAAAGAGACAGATGAGTGGACGGACAGATGCTGACCCTGGAGGCCTCTTCCTGCCACTCAAGCTTGGCTGCTCTCCCAGATCCACACTTTCTGAAAGAAGCCCCTCCAGACATCCCACCCAGACAGCCCCAACAGCTTGCCCCTGGCATCCTGAGGCAGCCCAGTGGAGTGGAGAGGACGTGGGATTTGGTGTTCCATTTCCTAATTCAGCCACTCATAAGCTGTGTGACCCTGGGCAAATCACTCAACCCTTCTGAGCCCGGCTCTTCATCTGTTGAAAGGGGGCAACAGTACCTGCCTACAGGTTGCCCTTATCTGAATTAAGCACCTGCCACCTTAGAGGTGGTGAATAAATGACAGTTATGACGAGTGCTTCCGCTCAGCCTTGCATCTGACCCAAGTGCTTGCATTCAGCCACTGAGCCAGAAAGGCTCCATGTCAGGTTCCTGGCACTCAGGTTGGGCCGGAATGATGAAGGGGATGCCCTGGAGTTGCACTGCCATCACTTCAGTCCACCAGAGGAGCTCTCGCGGGAAGGAGGAATGAGGTCTGGGGTCTCAGTGAGGTCTGGGGTCTCAGGAGGGCAGCAGCTGGGCAGAGGGGCCAAGAAGTGCTATGCCAAAGCCGGGTCTGATTCCAAAGTACACTCTGCCACCCCTGGGGATGTCCTGCCCCTTCCTCCTTTGCGCTCAGGCTTGTAGGTCCACCTCCCATGCCCAGATATCACCCAGGTCCCTTCAGAGGGGGCTGTGGCCCTGAAAAAGACGTTTCAGGGTTGAATCCTGCCCCACCCCTACTCCCCAGGCCCTCTACCCAGGTGGGGTGCATCGTTTCTGCTCTGATTTGGGTCTGGAAGACCTGCGCTCCTTCTTGGTTCTCCAACCCTCTTGTCCTCAGAGCCCACTTAAGTCACGGTGGGGGTGCTACTCTGCTGCGGGGGAGCAGGAGCCAGTGCACACCAAGCAGAAAATGGAGGCCACCATTGTTATGTTTCGTGAGGATTCTCACTGTGGGGCTGGAAGAGCTTCAGCTTGATTTTGTCCAACCACTCACCCCCCCACACACTTTTTTCTTTCTTCCTCCCCCACCCCCAGCTGTAGTTAATTTCAGTGCCTTATAAATCCTAAGCTCAGAGAAACATTAGCTCCGTTTCTGTCCCAGAGGGACAGGAACCTCCCTAGTCCTTCCCCATCTATGAAAGCTTGCTTGTTTATGCAACTCCATCTTAAGAACTGCCCAGAATCAGAGAGAGAATTGTGTCACCTGAGGGAAGTTGAAATTAAGTTGTGCCAGACAGTGACATCCTGAGTGTGTGCCCCACACCAGGCATCAGGAGACGGGGTTCAGTCCCTGCTCTGTTGTCAGCGGGCTGTGCCGCCGTGGGCCAGTCGATTGTCTCCCAGGCTTGGCACACTGCAGAGTGTTAGTTAGCATGGTCCTGTGAGTGCCTGGCATGCGCACTGCACTCAGAAGGCAGAGGAACCACCTTTACTCACTTGACCTCTGGAGGAGGCATATGAAAAAAATAAGTAACCTCATCTCTTGCTTGTATGGAAGCACGTGAATTCTGGCATTAGTTCTCCTAATGGGCCCATGCGCTCCCTGCTCAGTGTTAAACTAATGATTCTACTTGCTGTAGAGGAACGGTTAGGCCTGGGCTAGGGTACCCCAAAGTTAAAGCTCTGTCATTTCCCGTGGGGCTTCCATCCCTGAGCCACTGAGACTGTGGCCAGAGATGCAGCATCCTCTGTCGTCCTTAGTCCTGCAAACCAAAATCCTGCCCTCTACAGCCCCTGCAACCTGGGACTTAGAAGGGAAGGTCTTGGGGTCACACTGCCCCCAGGTTAATGTTTTGTGCAAGTAATACCTCGCCTGGAAAGAGGCAGTCTTCCAAGCATGACTGGTGAGTGAGTTACCAGCTTTTTCTTTGGGGCAAGTCCATCGTTGTCCATCCAGGTGGTGGTCTCAGGTGGAGTTAAACTTGGCACCCAGGTTGCGGGGGTGGGAGGGTAAGTGGTGTGTGTGAAAGTAGGAGGATAGGCCTGTCCCCTCCAGAGCCCCAAGTTTCTTGGCTGTGTGAAGGTTTTCTGTAAAATCAGAATTGTAGTCGGTGTCTTTGGCTGGAAGGATACATAATATAGTTGGATATTAAGGAAAGGGAGGGGGTGGCCATGGGTGTGGCAATGTATGGTATGTGGTTTTTAGTTTTTTCCTTGATCAGGGGACCAAGGAGAAGGCCATGAGTTCACCCCCACTCCCACCCCAGTAGGCTCCTGGAGCTGCAGACTTTGCGCCTATGACCATTCAGAATACTTCATGCCCCCATGACTGTATGACTGCTGCTTCTGTAAAAATAAAAGTGTGAGTTGGAAGGTAGCCTTTGTCATTTCTTGTTCTGGGGACCTAAATAAAGGGAGAGACAGTGTGAACTGGGCTCAAGTCAGGCTCCCTCCCATGAACAAGGGCTGAAAGACACCATGGGGAGGGACAAGTTTACCAGGGCTGTGGGTGACCCCATTTGGGGATTTCTATCACTGCCAAGGTGTGCTCTGGTATAGGTGTTAATGGAATCCCCAGGTGTAATAGTGTCTGAGAAATCACTGCTGAACACAAAGGTTTTCTCCTGTGTGGTCTTCTAGAAGGATATGGTTTAGGTTTTATATTTAGGTTTATGATTCACTTTGAGTTAATTTTTTTATGTGATGCAAGTCTGATTGCAGTTTTTTGTTTTGTTGTTGGCATATTGACATTTAGTAGTTCCAGCATCATTTGTTTAAACAAGACTGTTTGCACCTTGGCTGGAAGTGAGTTGCCCACCTAGGTGTGGAGTCTCTGTGTCTCGATTCTCTAGTCTCTTCCTTTCATCTACAGGTCTGTCTGGACAGCAGTTCCACACTGGGATAAGATAGTGTTCATCCTCAAGTTTTATTCCTCATTTTCAAAGATGTTTTATATTTTCATATAACTTTTAGGATCAACCTATCGACTAAAAAAATTACTGGGATCTTGATTGTTATTACATTGACACTCTAGATCAATTTGGGGGATCTCTCTCTCCCTTTATTTAGGTCTTTAATTTCCCTCAATGATATTTTGTAGTTTCCTATGTACAGATTTCATACATCATTTGCCAAATTTTTACTTGTTTCATAATTTGGATGCTTTTAAGGTTTTTGACTGTGTATTGCCAGTATATTAAAATAGTTGATTTCAATATATCCTTTTTTTAATTTGAATATATTGATCGTATTTCCTAAAACTGACTTCAGCATTCTAGTTTGTGCCTCATTTGGCATATCAGCTTTTTTTGAGGATGCAGGTTGCCAGAATCCTCAGTCTGAATTTCTGAGGGTTTTTTTTTGCATAGACGCAACGTCTGTGAATAAAGACAGCTTTACTTCTTCCAGAATAGGCACTTTGACAAGAGTGGACAAGTACCTGCTTTCCCTTTGAAGAGTGTCTGAAGCAATGTTGATATTGTGAGTTTTGTGGCTGAGGCTCTGGTGTCCCAATCCCCTTTCTCTAGAAACAACAGACCCCTCTTGTCCCATCTCTCACTGACAGAAACAGTGAGGGAAGACGCTAAGGACATTGTGGCCACACACACACACACACCCCAAGACCCACCTTTGAGCTAGACTGGGGTGCCTAACTCCAGAGGTGGAGCTGATTGTTCCGATGATTGCACTTCACCAGGGGTTCAGCAGTCCCTTCTCAGCATGAGGCCCTGCCAAACTTCCAGAAGCATCCGGGGTGGAGCGTACTCCTGGAGGGCCTTAGTTGCCTTATGACATGCTACACTCCTAATTTTGGATTTTAATGAACCAGTCAAGCACTTTGGCTTTAGAATAGAAGGGGTTCCCAGAGTGTCTCCACATTCCACCCTTGCGTCCATCTGCCCTCTGGCTCCCTTATTCACGTCACTGACCAATTTGAATCTTAGGATACTAGATCTCATCAAAAGACATCTGGCCCCAGCTGTCCCCACAGACATCGTGACCTCCAGGTACATGTTTCCACACACCTCTTTGCTCTCCCAGGCATCCCCCTCTCACCCCAAAAACCCATTCCCACGCCTACCCTCCCATACCCAGACTAGTCTTCAGGCCTTAGGGCCCTCCGGTCCCCGCAGGCCGTCCTCTGTAAGCAGCTTTAAGGAGTAGGATCTGAACTGTAATCCACGGTTGGAAGACACTTCCCTTTAGTAAAAGGTGTGATCCTTTCCCTTAAAGAAAAGAGAAAGAGAAAATGGAACTGGTGCCTTGGAAGGCAATGAATCTGCCGTTGCTTGTGCGTCCATGGATTTGACATTGAGTGAGAAGCCAAAGTAGATGACCCCTTAGAGCCTTTCTACCTAGACAGCCTTGTTCCAAGGAGGAGGTGCCTTTATTTTATACTTAGTATGACTCACCGGAGCCCCCATGTGGCTTTGTAAGAACTTCAAACACAAAATCCTAGCACCTGAAAGGCCATCCAGCCCAGCTGTGAAAGGGAGTGGCCTTCAGGCTAATGGGGCTTGCCTGAGGTCTCCCCAAAGGGCCTAGTGAGAGCCAGTAGACCTCGGTCTGTGCTCCTCCCGATTCTGTCATCAGAGTGGAACTTCCGGGGACTCTGGTGCCATTCTGGGAGCCATTCAGAAGAAGGCATTTCCATGAGAACCTTCTGCTTCGTGGATCAAGCAGCATCTACCAGCCATTATGTGTTTCTGGTCTGCTTCCCCACCAAGATGCAAACTCCTTGAAGGCAGAACTTTATAACTATCCTATTCCCAGGAGCTCACGAGGTGGAAAAGGGTGTTACTAATATGGGTGGGTCCTCAAGGCTCCATTCTCCCCTCTCCCAAGGTCCCTGGCTCAGATTCAGCTGTCACTTGGATCTTTAAACCACCTCGTGGTCTCTATCCCTCCCCTGCCCTACACCTTCACCCCAAAATGCCACAGGTGACATTTTTTAAAACACAAGTTACTTCTGATTAAAACCTTTCTAAGAGAGTGGGAGAAAATATTGACAAAACGCGTATCTAATAATATTTAAATAACTCTCAAAACTAAGAAAACAACCCATTTTTTTTTTCCTAAGTACAAAAGTAGGTGGAGGAGGCACCTCAAAAGATGCTCAATGTCTTGTCATCAGGGAAACGCAAATTCAAACCACAAGGAAATGGGCCTCTCAGGAAGGTTCACTTTAGCAAACGGAACAAAAAAGAAATACCTGATAATGCCACGTGCTCACAAGGACTTGAAGTCATCAGACCCACATACATCGCTGATGGTACAGCCCTCTCAGAAAGCCACTTGACTGTTTCTTATAGAGTTAGAATACATTCGCCAAGCAACCTAGAGATCCTGCTCTAGATATTAACAAAGAGAAGCAAAAATTATGTCTACACAAAGACCTTATTGACTCTGTACAGCAGCTTTATTCAAAGCTGTCCAAACAGGAAACCACCTGAATGTCCCTCACCTTAGAAATAGATAAAGGAAGTAACTATGATCTATGCAACCAGGTAAGTGGACCTGAGAGCTTCATGTAAAATGAAAGAGACACAAAATCCTACATATGGCGTGACTCCGTTTATGTGACATTCTGGAAAAGGCAGAACTACAGCGCTTTGACCATCTCAGTAGTCACCAGGGTGCAGGGGAGGAGACCAGCTACAAAGGGCACAAGGAAACTGGGGTGGTAATATTCTTTAGCTTGCTTGGGTGATTACAGCATGACTACATGCATTGTCAAAACTCGGAAGTATATGCCTTAAAGGGGTGGATTTTACTATATATCAGTTATTACTCTTGTAAATCTGACTTTAAAACAAAAATCCTGTGACTTCTCCCAGGCGGGGTAAAGTCCACGCAACTTAGCGCCAATGGACTGGAGCTAAGCCCTAACTCCATGTGCTTTGAATAAAGGTCCCAGTTGAACACAGGACAGATGTATACTCAGAGTCAGAACAAAATGAAATCATTCGTATAGTCCTGGGGTGGAAAATCTGTTTTCCTGCCATCCAGGTCCCGGTCTGTCCACTGTCACACACAACCTCTGTAAGGGCAATGCCAGGGACTTCCTCGCACACAGCTGGCACCCAGTAGTGGATCTAGATTGAAGTGGCTGACCTAGAAGTGGTCCATGTCCCACAGGGGCAATGGAAATATGCAGAGTCAGGACTGTCACAGAGACAGGGGAGGAGGCAAACACTGGCAGCTGCCAGGGATGCTACACATCGTGCCAAAGGCAGGGGAGGTACCTGGCTCCATGAAGAGGTGTCCCCCAAATGCCAAGGGCGGCCTGCTGAGAGAGGCTGGTCTATGGGAAGGGAGGCAGGTAGCAAGTATGTCTTCTAAACAGACCCTGGCCTGTGAGACAGACGTCATGATCCCAGCCCACAGCTGAGAACCAAGAGGCTGGCTTAGTCGCCAGGGGCCACCCAGTTGGGGGCTGGCACAGCAGTTTAACCTGCACTCATCCTAAAGCCCACAAACTTCAGAGCCTCAATCAGGTCCCATCAATGGGAAGTCAGGCTGGTCGGAATAAGGCGGGTCACATAGCCCTCAGGACACAGTGAGCCAGGCTGGCCCCGGGGCAGAGGGTAGGTCACTGGAGGAACACAGTGTGCCCCAGGGAGCTCAGGTAATTTAATCACATGCACACAGCTTTGTAAGCCACAGAACCACAGTCTCCTCCCCAAATCCTAGGCTCCTGTTGGGGTCCACTGAAGTTTCACAATCTCTCAGGGTTTCTGCCATGAGGAGGCAAAGCCAATATTACAGCTTTGCCTATTAGCAAAGCTAATATTACAGCTTCCAATGGCCCTTGCCCAAGACCTCCTCCTGTGTTTACCCACTCGGCTGTTTGTTGAATGCTTGACCTGCAGGTATGTGTCTGCATGAAGGTCAAACTCCTACAGAAAGATACATTCCCACCCTGCCTGGTCTGTCTTGCTTCTGCACTTTCCTATCCCCTTCCCAAGCCCTACCTGCCAGCTGCTCCGTCACCCCCAACAGGCTAAGCTGGTTTGTCTCTCCAGGCCCAGGCTGCAGCCCGGAATACACTCCATCTCTCTGCACCACCCTCCCACGTGGACCGGGCATCTCTCTCAGTCCAGAGATATGCTCTTGTGTCCATGCCCACTCACCCTCACCAAAAACAAAGGGAGATAGGAGGAGGGAAGAAGGAGAGGAAGGTCACAAGGAAGGAAAAGTAAGACACTGGCCTTTCTCCAGGCTGCCTGCCCTTGGGCCTGAGGCCCGATCCTTCCCTAGTGCCCGGTCATCTCTGTGGCAATCTCTGGAGTTCTGGGGTGCAGAGTGAATGTGTAATGGGATTTACAGGGGACAGGGCCCCCATGCTGAACTTCCTGAGTCTCCATTTCCTCTCCAAACTGCCCAATCTCCACCATAGTGGCAGGCACAAAGGGGTGAGCGCAGGTGGGGTAAGCACAGAGAGACGGGTCGACAGACTCTGCCTTAGCCTTCCTGGGTTCAAAGAGCCTTCTTTGCTGGTCTTGTAACAGGGTGGTCCCCAGGAAAGGGGGAGGTTCCCTGCCCCACCCAAGGGAGGGTGGAGCTGAGCAGGAAGAGAAAAAGCGGAAGAAGAGACTAAGGAAGGAAGCAGGATGGAGCCAGGAGACCTGGAGGAGGCGCATGGAGCCTAGAGACACGTGAAGAAACTGCGCTTGTCTTTTGGTCGTGGACTGGGTGACACAGATGTGGGTGAGACCCGTGGGGAGGTGACCATGGCAGCTTTTATCTTTTTTTTTTTTTTTTAAAGATTTATTTTTATTTATACATGCACTGGGTACAGTCAGAAGCGCGGGAGGGTGAGAGAATTCACCAGAGCCGGAGTGGGGAGCAGAGCAGGCAGAAGGACCGAAGCACACTGCTCAGGAGGAGCAGCGGGTGGCAGGAGAGGTCTGCACGCCATGTGGGACCCTCCTCTGGCAGCCGGGGAGCAGCCGGGGATTGAACCGGCGCTGCAGAGGCTGCAGGCAGCTTCGCAACCCAGCGCTCAACCGCTGTGCCACCGGGGAGGCCCCGGCAGCTTTTATCTTGATGTTGATTTTGCTCTTTTCCTTCTGGGCTTGTCCAGTTGTTTGTGACCCTTTTCTGTGGGTCCCCACTGGAAGATGCTTTAGACTTGTAGCAGGCTTTGGGGCCTTGTTCTGGGCCAATCCCATATGGATGGACTTTTACCCACGAGGGGACGGGTAACTTTGGGTGCTTCATTTAGAAACTAGATTCTTTGCCTTACCTGTATTGTTTCCTAGTTTTATTAAAGTTCCTTTTCATTAAAGTCTCCTATGTTTTGTGTTGATGCGGCGGATGGCAGAACCCATTTAGAATAGGCAGGTTTGCGGGGTTTGGGCTGACCCTTTTCCCTGTCCTATAACAGTCTCATCCTCCAGGAAACAGTGGGGAAAGGAGTGGGGGAGCTTTCTGAACATAGGGAAATTCTGGGTCCCAGCTGACCTCATCCTGTCCTCACACTGCGTGGTTGGCCCCTCCCCTGTGAGCTGGCAGCCACTCTGGGACAGGACGTTCTCTCCTGCGGTGGTCCAGCAGCCAGGATGTGCCTGGCACGGGGTAAGTGGTCAATTAATCTGTAAAGACTGCACAAAGGAGCACCGCTGACTAGCAAGTGATTTAGGAAATCACTTTTTCTCTCTGACCTTCCATGTCTCAACTGAAAAAAACACCAAGAGCAATACCTAAGTTTTAAAGTTACTTTGTACAGTGAATATGTACAAAATCACATCGTACATTGTATAGTCTATGAATGCAGGCATCAATTGTTGTTATGATGATTATTACAAAGAATGGATAGTTATGATTTCAACTCAAATTCCTGGACAAGGAATATTGGTTTAGTTTAAACTGCTTAAAAGGCTGTTTGCACTAGGATTTAAAGGGGATAGGTGTCTGCCATTTGCTTGGAAAATCTCAAAATAGAGGATGATTAACAGAGGGATAGAAAATAGGTAGAAAGATAAGTCACAGAGCAAGTAAGAGTAAAACATTACTGATAATGTCGAAACAGTGGACATACAGGTTCACCCTTGGGAAATCCTTTCTAGTATGCTGTAGGTTTTTTTTAAAAAATCATAAAATGCAGATGGAAAAAAAGACAAAAGGAAAAGTAAGCTTCTGTCAAGTGAAATGGGGAGTTTCCCATGCATTCTTTCTTTCATGAGCTATTCAGACTCTGCACCATTTCATCCTTAATGTGCTGACTCACCCTTCAGATATTTATTGAGCGCCTCTTAGGCGTGCCAGCTACACCCTGGAGCTAAAGAATAGAGCGGTTCTGTCTAGCAAGGACCACGGGCATCTGAATAATTACAACGTAATAGGAAAAGTGCTCCAACCTGGGAATGCACAAGAGGCTGAGAATAAAGAGACATTGTCTGGGAAAATCAGGGAAGCAGAGTTGTGAAGGATAAATAGGAGCTTTCCAGAAAAAAAAAAACTAGGAGAATATTCCAAGAACAGATCACAGTGTGGGGAAAGGCCCAGTGGACTAGAGCAAGTGAGTGGTGCAAAGTCCGTGGCCATGGTCAGAGGGTGGGCCAGAAGAAGACGGCCTGGCTACGGCAGGGCTAGGAAGGTGATCAGATGGGAAACCTGCTCCATTGGTCAGCCAACCACATTTATGATGCACTTACTGTATACATAGCTCTGAAGAATGAAAAACAAAAGACCGTCTCTCCCACATAGGAGTTAAATCCCAGGCTACCTGGCTAGAAGCCCAGAATTCTGCGGTTTGGCAGAAAGATACAGGTGAAGCTTGGGAGTGAGAGGTGAAAAAGAGCAGTTGTAACTACACATTCCAGGAGGAGTCTTTGCAACTCTCCCACAAATGCCTCCCTTGCCGACCTGAAGACAGCAAACATCAAGGACAGGTATTCAGCCACCCATGGCCCCTCCACACCTGACAGAGGAGGAGGCTGAAGGAAGCACAGGGTCAGAACCACCGTTTCTGGTCCTTGCCAGGCCTCCCGTTTGCTACAGGACTCTGAGTAACTCCTCAAGGCCACCTCACCATGCCTCCCTTACTCATGTATAAGAGGGCAAGGCAGTGCTGGCACGCACCTTGCACCTCTGCAGCGTGTGGACCTGCTGCCCCTGTGCCTCCTCAGGCACGCTGGACAGTGGCCAGGCCCGGAGAGGCAGGGACTGCAGTATCGCGTCAGCCCCGAGGAGCTGTGAGCAACAGCCAGCCAGCCAGCCTCCACTCATTTTTATGAACTCTTTACTCCTGCTTTATTTTCACATTTTTTTAACTTCTAGAGTCGAGTGAAGGTTTCATTGGGTTTGACTCTTTCTTGATTGATATTAAGAGCACTTAGAGCTATCCATGTCCCCCTAATGGATGCTTTGACACTACAATGGGTGCTCACTTAATGGTGTCCATAGCTTGAGGGAAACCAACTTGATACAAAATGGCATATAATGAAACCAGTTGTTGGGCTCTCTGACAGCAGCAGAAGCAGGAGCTCACATCTGCAAGCTGGCTTATAGTTACCATAATTGCATGCACCCTCTGCCTCAAGCTTCACAGCAACGTCCTGAAATGAGTCCTACCCGCCCCACCACCAGCACCAAGAAACTGAGGTTTCATGTGGAGAAGCTGGGTGGACTGCTAGTGGAGGGGTCAGGATTGACAGAGTTCTGTTTCCTTACCAGGAGCTTTAGCTAGAGCACCTCATTTGGTTCTCCACAGTTCTCTGTTTAGTTGACCGCTGAGGGAAGGTGAAGGGGCTGTCCCACCTCACACAGCCAGTAAGCAGCTGGCCAGGAGCAACTCCAGTGCCAAGGTAGCAACTGTATCCCCTTAGAGAGCGAGCCTGGAATGGCCATGGGTGGGGGGACCCTCCCCCTGCACCTCAAGGTAACCCTTGCCCTGTCTCTGCTGGAGCTGCTGCAACACTCACTGCATGAGCTTGTCTTTGACCGGGTCTGAGGGGTAGCGCTTAGATTCGCCCAGGAACAGAGACTGGTATCGCTGCCGCCGGTCCTTTGTCTCGATCAGCCAGGTGTTGAGGTAGCGGCCCACACCTACCGGGTTCTGCACCGGGAGAGCAGGCAGCACATTAGCAAGCTGGATGCCTGGCTTGAGACTTGATCTCAAGCCTCCTCCCCCACCCGCAGGCTCTGCCCTATTCTACTTGTTAGGGGTTGTATTGTGCCCTCCCTCCCCCAAGAGACATGCTGAAGTCCTAACCACCAGTACCTCGGAGTGACCTTATTTGGAAATAGCTAACAGGTTCATTAGTTGAGATGAGGTCACAATGGTGTAGGGCAGGTCCTTAATCCAATGTGACTGTGTCCTTATAAAAAGAGACACACCGGGAGACAGCCATATGAGAGAGGCAGAGGTTGGAGTGATGTAGTCACAGGCCAAGGTGGGCACAGGACCACTGACCACTAGCAGAAGCTAGAGAGAGGCTGGAACGGTTCTCCCCTGCAGGTCTGAGAGCAAGCGTGGCCCTGGCAACAACCGGACTTTAGACTTCTGCTGCCAGGACAGTGATAGGACATGTCTCTTGTTTTAAAGCAGTGTGCTTGTGGAACTTTCCTATGGCAGCCTTGGGAAATGAATATGCCATCCCACCAAGAAATCCAAGCTGGAGTGCCTGTTCTGACCCAGGAGACGACAGGACAAAAACCCTGCCATCTGTAGAGGAGCAGTGCCTGGGGTGGGGCCGGGAGATGCTGGGGACCCAGGAGTCCAATGCAAAGTCAAACTTGACTTGGTTCATGAAGAAGTAGGCTCCCGCTGGGTGTGCGCGCAGACACCCCCATCCCCAGGGCTCAGCCTCTGGAACCTGACATCCCATCAATCCTTCCCACTTTGGAGGGCCAGCCTGGTGGTCATAGCTTGGTCCTTTGGCCCTTTTCTAAACATCTTACTTGGGAGCCCCAAGCAAAGACCCTTTCTCCTCTGCAGGAAATGCAAGCTGGGAGCGAGAAAAAGGATGTGGGACTGGCCGGTTGGGCTTCACATGAATGGGCAGGGTATTGGAGCGCAGGTACATTGGGGAACAAGCCATCCCTGGAGGAGGTAAAATGGAGGTGTGGGGTGCTGTCTGGGGCAGTGGGAGCAGTGCGGGAAGGCAGATGTTACAGGCAATATGTTCCCTGGGAATCCAGGAGGGAGCTTAAAAATATAAAGGTGTTCAAAGCCACATAAAACTAATACACGCTACTAGAAGTCAGGATGGGGGTGGCCTGATGGGATTGGAGTGGAAGGGGGTGTTGGGGTGCCAGAAATGTGATCTTCAATGTTCTGGAGGGTGGCCGCATGGTCAGGCTATTTTGTGGCAATCCGTGCACCTTTCTGAAGGATTACAGACACTGATGTGTGCAGTTAAAACCTGGAGGCCGGGAATAAGAAACAAATGAGGTCACTGCCAATAGTGTGAGCTAAGAAGGCAGGAACACAAAACTAAAATCTCCCCTACCTTACAGGATGCCTCTGGGGAGGGAATGGGAGGAGGGGCCGAGGGGTTCTTAACCAGGAGGGGAAATGAGCCAACTTCAGCAGTTCCTGCAGCCCCCAGACCAATATAAAGAGAATGGAGGGTGTGTTCCCCTGTCTTGAGCGCCTGGAAAGGCAGCATGGGCCTCACCTGGGAACAAATTAGAATTCCTGGCCTCACCCCAGGCTTACTGGGCAGAAGTTTTGTGTTTTAACAAGCCCCCCTGCCTCCCCACATGATAGTAATGCTTGCTCATGTTTGGAAACCAGGGTCTTTGAGAAAGAAGATGGTGGGAGCCCGGCATAGTCCCTGGGGGAGAAAAGAGGTGGGATCCTGCTCACGCAGATCGTCACTTCCTAGGGGGCAAGAAGGGTTTAGAGCTACCCAGCAGCAGGAACCCCACCCCAAGCACACTCACCCAGGCTCCCAAAAGCATCTGGTAGGGTTTGCCTGGCCTCTTGGAGGACAGCAGGAAGGGGGGCTGGTTGACGTGTTTGCATTTCTTCTCCACAGGAAGCCACATGCCAGGACCCGATGTGTCCTAGAGGGAAGGAAAGAGGTGCAGGTGGAGAGGCTCGTGGTGGTCAGCTGGGGCCAGGGCATGAGAGCGCTCTGACCTGACCTCCCCATTCTGGCCACCCTGGACCTTGAGCCAAAGACAGCAGGTGGTTCCCTGCCATCCCCAACTCACCAGGAGCCTCTCCTGTGGGAGAAAGGGATCTTGCTGTGCCCACATGACCCATGCCACCCACTCTCCCTTCCCCCATCAGCCTGACACTTCTTTTCAGGCTCCCAAGGACTCTTGTGGCCTGGCAGGGTCCAGAGAGGCTCCCGGCCCCAACTTGAGGAGACCCACACAGAGCTGGAGCAAGAAGAGCTGGGTTCAATCCCAGCACCTTCTGTCTTTGCTGGAAGAGCCTGAGCAAATCCCTCCCTATCTCTGGGCCTCAGTTTCTGGATCTGTAAAATGCAGGTCATCCTTCCCTTGGGATGGGGGGAAGCTGGGAGGGGCCTAAGCCAGCAGGCCTGCAGAAAATGTCGGTCCACCTTTTCCTATCTCCAGCCTCTTTCTTTCCCAAGCCCTTAGCAGTTCTCTCCCTGGGGGACAGACCTTGCTTGGTCTGACTGCACACCCTCACCCCCAAGTGGAGTCCACCACCCCTTGTCGGAGCAAGGGTGCCCTGCCCCAGTTTTCTCCCTTCCTCTCTCCAGGGGAGGAGAGACAGAGTGAAGGGCAAGGCACAGGGGACTTCTGGGTAAACAGAGGCACAAAGAGTGAGCGGGCCTTACTCAAGGTGACTAGAATGTGCAAGATCTGAGCTGAGCCTGATACCCCTCGTTTGCACCCCCTGGATAAGCCTCCACCTAACTCCAGCCCCCTACAGGAGAGCCAAGAGAGGAAGGAAGGCCATGGGGGAATACTGACTAGCTTTCGGGGACACTGGCTAAGGGTAGCCCAGTAAATCCTCTCTGGAGGGGTTTCAGGGTTGCGGGGAACATCTGAAAAAACCCCGTGCTTCTTCTTGTAACGTGAGTGAAGTTCTTCCACGAAGGTCTTGCAACTCGACAGTTCTTTGGGCTTTTTTTTCTGAGACACAGAAGAAAAAGGATTCTGTTAGACCCGAAAAATGAAGAGTCCCTTTCTGAGCACTGACCAGCAATGGAAGAACAGCGAGGGACCACACAGGGCATCCGTGCCCATCCTACCTGTTCCCGAGGCCAGACCTGGGCAGGCAGGGATGAGCCCCCCAGCCAGAGTGTGGGTTAGTCTGAGGGAGTCTCCAGCAACTCCCACCTGGGGCCACACGCTCCCACCAGCTGCGTTACTCCATCCTTCCTTTCACTTGCTTCACAGACATTCACTGGGTCACATACTACCCTAAGCAGGAGCAATAGTCCAAATATTCAAAAACCAGTGTTGTTGATATTTTTCTGGAGGGAGGGAACAAGAATTTTTACAGCAGTGAAACTACTCTGTATGTTACTATAATAGTGGGTCCTTTTGTCCAAACCCAAAGGATATAAGCTACCAAGAGCGAATTGGATGTCAGCTAGGGGCTGTGGGTAACAGTGACGCTTCCATTGTAGGCTCATCCGCTGTAAGTAACATACCACTCAGGGGTGGCATGTTGATGGGGGTGGGGGAGACAGAGGGTAGGTGGGAATCCTCTATGTTCTGCTCAGTTTTAGCATGGACCTGCATCTTCTCTAAAAAAAAAAAAAAAAGGCTATTTTTTTAGACAATAGCAACATTGTGCTGTCATCCTGACTGGGCATTGGTGGTGGTGCCTGCAGGAGGAGGTCTGGAAGCTCCTGCTGTGCTGGACACTTCAGCAGCTGGTCATGGGGAGATGTGGGAGGTTCCAGGAAGAGCCAGATTGGGGGGCCCAGTTCAGCAGCTATTTTCCACCTGCTCCCAAAGTATTTCAATGTTCCACCCTCTTTTTTTTTTAAAAGACCCATCTACCCATGCACACAAGAGCTGGGGTACAAGTCAGAGATGGGGGGCGGGGTGAGAGGATTCACTGGAGACAGAGTGGGGAACAGAACAGACAGATCGACTGAAATACACTGCTGAGGGGAGCAGCAGGAGAGACAGGAGAGGTCTGCTGCGCCATGTGGGTAGCTTCCTGGCCGGCCGGGGATTGAACTCGTGCTACAGAGGCTGTGGATTGCTTCATAGTGCGGTGCTTAACCCCTTGCGCCACCAGGGAGGTCCCTGTTCCACCCTCTTGACCCCTTTCTGGCTCTCCCGAAGCCCTTTACTACAGGCTCGCCAAGGCAGGTTTCCCTGTGCCTGGACTATGACCTGGCCTGAAGGTACACAGAGTGAACAAGGTGCACATAAAATAAGCAGGTAAAGACAAACAATTCCAATTGCTATGAGTCCAAAGAGAGCAAAGTATAGCTTCCCATGAATCACACCACAGGAATTTGACGTGTGCAGGAAAGGGAGGTGGCAAGGCAAAACTCCGCCTCAGTTTCCTGTGCTGGTGCTCCAAGTCTCTGCCATGTTAACAGAGTACTGCCACCAGCCCTGTCAGCTAAGCTGGACCCGGGATGCCTGGGGCAGCAGGATACCTAGACCTGTGCCTCCAAGGTCCCTGTAGATCTGGTGACCAGTCTCCCACCCAGTCCTGGCATCGTGGCCAACTGCACCTCCCCTGCAGCTCATGCCAAGTCAAGTGAGACAGAACTGGTGGCAAAGCCAGACCCACATACTGAAATTCAAAACCTGACTCTTCCCTGAGCAGCTGGGTAGCCAGCCTCAGTTTCCCCACATAACACAGAAGCCATGCCCTGCCCTTGCTGTGGGGGTAAAGGCACCCAGGGTGGTGCTCCTGCTGAAAACTGAGACCTGGCATCTTCCTGGGAAAGCTACCCCCACCCCTGCCTGGGCACACACCAGCACAGCGTAATGTCCATATGGCTGGGGCTTGTGTCGGTCGCCAGAGAAAATGTCATAGGGTCCTCGGGTGCTCACAGATCGTGCCATGTAAGTCTCGATGCCACTTTTGAGGCGGTAGGTGCCTGGTGCCAGGCCGCTCCCCTAGAACAGAGCACAGAGGACCAGCCTTGCAGGCAAACTGCTAGGGCTGACCCACCACCCCAGCTGTTCCCCATCTTTCTGGGAGCCTCCCCGTAAGACTCTGCAGGAAGGTGGACAAGGCAAAGCCTGGCCCGGCAAGGGGGGCTACCTGATGAGCCAAAGGGGATGGCTTGTTGGACATCTTGGACATGAGACCCTCGGAGTGAGACCGGTTCCAAGCACTCTCCTCCAGCTTAGTGTAGGGGTTGCCTTTCTCCCCGTAATTTCCAGGACCTGGGTAGTAGTTCTGCAGGGGGAGAAAAGCACACAATAGCCGCCAATCCCGCTCCCTGTGCTGAGTGCATCTGAGGAGGAGATGCCCTTGGAGGGGAACGGGATTTTCAGGTCCACAGACTGAACCTCTACCACTGCCCAGAATTTCAGTTCCAAGCTCAGACTCTCCGCTAAGCCCCCCTGACCTTTGCAGCTTACCTTTCACCACTTCCTCTGACATCCCATTCTTAGCCAGAGTGGGCTCCTTTCTGGTCCCCAAACCCATGTCATTCTGCCAACCTCCTTGTCTCTGCATGCATGTGCTATTACTAACACCCAAGATGCTCTTCCTGCCTCCACTGCTTTGGAAACTTCTAAATCTGCAAAGCCAGTGCCTGGGAATGAAGTCTTCCTTCCCCTATCAGCCCAGCTGCTTGCTTTGGGGGGTGGGGGGATCTCAGAAATTCTGCTCGAAGTCATAATCCTGCATTTGCATGAATGGGTTTCCCACTGTACTGGGAGGATCTGGAGTCCTGGGTTCAAATTTTGGCTCTGCTGCTTCCTAGCTGAGTGAACTTCGGCACCCATTTAATACTTCTTTTATTTAAGATTTATTTATTTATGCATATAAGAACTGGGGTGTAGACCAGAGATGCAGGGGGTGAGAGGAGACAGAGTGAGGAGCAGAACAGGCAAATGGACTGAAATACACTGCTGAGTGGTGCAGCGGGGGAGACAGGAGAGGTCTGCTGCACCATGTGGATTGCTCCCTGGGGGTGGGGGGAAGGGGATCCAACTCGTGCTGCAGTGGCTTGCAATAGCTTGATAGTGCTGTGTCTTTAACCACTGCGCCACCAGGGAGGCCCCCATTTAATACTTCTGAGCCTCATGGCCCACATTTGTAAAATGGGGGTTCTTTCTCCCACTATTTAAATAATGTCTATAAAGCCTTCTGCTCCAACTCAAAGTGGGCACAACTGTCACATGGTCAGTGGTGGGGGTGGGGGGTGAAGGAGGAGGAGGTAGAAGAGGTTGAGAATCGTGGCTGAAATGACCTGCCGGGGCCCTGACTGCCAGGATCAGAAGTATGCTCTCTGTAAGTGGCGTGAGGAGAGCCACCCTGCAGTGTGGGTGGTGGGCGAGTGAGGGCCTGGGGGTCCTTGGGTAGGGACCGGGCAGGAAGTTTGCTGCAGAACTGCACCTTTTAGCCATGTGGGGTCGCTGCTGTTCCACAGATGGCTCAGCCCTGCCCACCTCCCACCCCTCCCTCCACCCCGCTCCCCGCAGCTCTGGGAAGCAGCTCCACAGAGTATGGCTGAGGGGCAGGGAGCGCTGCTGGGAAAGTCAGGCCACTGTGGGCATCCAATCTGTTCACCTTCAGAGCAACAGGATGACACACGGCCTCCTCCAAGCGCCCAGGGCTGAGCTGGGTCTCTGCAGCATCTATTAAGTGAGTCCTTCACAAATCTTAACATCTTTGTCCCAGAGGCGAAGGGAAAAGATCCAATCAGCACCATCCACAATTAACAAATGGGGAAACTGACTCTCAGAGACGACTTGTCCAAGTTTAGGGTCCCAACACCAAGCTCCATGATCTTTCTGAGTCTCTACCGTCCAGGCGCTATGGTAGGCACTGGGGTGGGAGGGCAATGAGCCCGCCCTGGGAGACCTGAGAACGGGGCTCTAACAAGGAGCAAATTGGGAGCTCGTGGACCTGGTGCTGGTGCTGGTGCTCTGTTGGCATGGATTCATCTGTCCCCTAAAACCGTCAGGTTCAGAGATAATAAGATACTTGGGTTGACGTGAAAGCCCGTGATTTGAACGAGGCTATGTTGCCGAGCTTTTGGGTCCCAGGTGTGAGTAATTCAATCTTCATTTACAAGATTTTTTTTAGCTGGGGCATAATGAATGAGAAGGATTCCAAAGACAGGGGTGGGAGAGGGGCAGGTCCTGCAGGCAGAGGGGCAAAGACAGGGATGCCAGGCAATACCCCAGACCAAATGGGAGAGGTGTGCTGGGAAGAGGGTAGGGAGGGGCAGCAAGGTCGGATTCTGAGGCAGGAGGAAAGCTGAGGAAGATGAGTAGGGGATTCAGAAATTGGTCAAGAGGGCTGGGGCCTGGGCCATGGTGGAGGCTGTGGAGATGAAAGGAAGAGGATAGATGAAGAGCACAAGGTAAAAGCACAGGCCCTAGAGGCCCTGCAAGGTTTCTGGCTCTGGCAAGGCAGCACCATTCCCGGGGATGAGCAGTCCCAGGGGAGTTTCTGACCTGTGGGTTGGGGGGAGGCATGCAGAGTTTAAGGTGCCTGGGAAACCCTGGGTGGGATCTAGCGTCATCTGCAAGGAACTTGGCTACAGAACCCAGTACCATCGCTTCTCGGCCTTTTGGCTAAGATCAAGTGCAAAACCCAGTACCCACAGAGTCAAGAGAGGGAAAGGGGATGGCAGCAACCATCAATGACCAGGAGGGGTGGGGTTATAAGCCCACAGAGGACATTGCCTTTGCCTAGGGGGGGTGGTCGGGCCACCCAGTCTGATTTGGGAAGAGCTGGTGGGACCCCTTAGTGCTTTGGGCACCTTCATGCCTTGGCATTGGCACTGGGGAAGGCCCCTGGGAAGGGTGGCATTTCTATACTTTCAGTAGTGGGGGTGCAAATGGAGGGAGCAGAGGCGGCATGGGGTTCCCAGCCCAGGTCTTGCAGCCGGCCCAGGACTTGCCCTCCTTCGGGGACTGCCTTCTTCAGCGCCACCTCTGTGAACTGACTAACCAGCCCTGAGCCCAGGACAGCAGCTCAGAGAAATCCTGCAGAGCCAAGCAGAGGCTACTGTGGAGCGATATGGGGACCAAGAGGAGAAGAGACAGCCAGAGCGAGGGACAGGCCGTGACACCTCAGCTCAACCAAGTCGGCCACCACTTAGGTTCCCCAGTGCTGGCGGCTGGGGACACAGGAAGCAAATAGCTAGCATGAGAGTTGTTCCCCAACTCCTCTGGCATCAGCTGGGCCGGGCGCTGACATAAGACTCTGTCCTCCGCGGACAGCCAAGAACGGAATCCAAGCGCACCGAGTCTGTGGGTAAAGGGCAGTGGGTATGTGGACCCCGTGGATTCCAAACCTGCTTCTGCCGCTTAGTAGCTCTGTGACCTTGGGCTATTATTTAACCTCTCAGCCCTTCAGTTTTCTCATCGGTAAAGTGGAGATGATGATAGTGCCGACTTCATGGCATGGTTGTGAAGATTAAATTAATTAGTACACTCGAGTGCTTAGAACACTGCCTGGCACGTGATAGTGCTGTTAAGTGTCAGCTATTATTACTGTAGATTTGAAGGTAATGACTCATTTTAAATGCCTCCAGGTGCCCCCCTCTCCCTGCTTCACAGTTACAGCTTCTGCACCCAAAAATGCATGTGCTCATCCCCTGAAGTGGCACAGACTAATTCCCAGGCTTCACAGCAGGTTTCACAGGGGTGAGGTCTGGGGGAAAGGCCCTGGTGTGCGGCCTAGGGCAAGTTGCTTGTCCTCTCTGAATGCCCAGGACTCATCTGGACTCACTGCAAAAATGTAGAATGTTTTGGAGCACCTGGTACTTTAAGTAGGCAAGCATGCACTTACTCAGTCCACAAGTACTTACTCATGCCTACTATGTGCCAGGCACTGCCAGGACCTGGAAATTCTGGAGTGAATGAAGCAGGTAGATGTGGTCCACCCTCAGGGGCTGATGTCCAGAGGGAGAGAGATACTAACCGCACTCCACAGTCAGGGCTCCTGGGAAAGACAGACCTCACCCAGTGGAGGTCAGGTCAAAACCATGGAGCTGAAAGCTGAGGGGTGAATAGGAGCTCCTTGGGTAAGGAGGCTGCTGCGGGTGGAGGGGGAAGCATTTCTGGCAGAGGGAACAGCAAGAGCAGAAAGCAGTGTAAAAATCACGGTGCATTTGAGGAGTTGGGAGGACGCGTGAGGATGCGTGTCCTGTACAGAGGGCGTGCTGGCCGGCCTGGGTGGAGGGGCACTCTATAAAGTGCAGACAGGCTCAGTAATAGGGTGACTCCTGTTTCCTCCCTCGCGACCTCACTGCTAAGCTTGAATCCCAGTAAGTATCCCCCCCACAACCTGGCCCACACCAATACCACTGCAGCCCCCCTGCCATCCCCACCTCTCACCTTCACTCCTGCAGCCTCCAACCACCACCCCTATGAAAATGCAAATCAGACCCTCCCCCACCCCATCAAAATCCTCCCATCTTCTCTGGCATTCAGAACCAGACCCGAACACCCCTCCCCTCAACCTCCATGATTCAAGGTCCTTCTTCTGACCAGCAAGCTTGCTGCTCCTCAACCTTCCTGCCTCCTCCACTCTCAACCCTGTCTGCTGGTCTAACTCCCCCAGGAGGTTCCCACCTCAGGGCCTTAGGCTTTGCAGTTTCTTCTGCCTGGATACTCTCACAAATACCATGAGTCTCCACTGCTCATGGCCTGAACATTTGCTTAAACGTCACCTTCCAGAAGGCTTCCCTGCCCAGCCTACAAATTGCATCTCCACCACTGTCCAGCCCTTCCTGTCTCATGGTCCTCACAGACCTGATTGTATATGATTTGCTTTTTTGTGCTGTTGCTTCTACACCAGGACACCAGCTCCATGTGGGCAGGCACCTTGTCTTTCTCGCTGCTGATCCCCAGGGCCTAGAAGAGCCATGGTTCCAGCAGGGGTCCATCATCCTTGGCTAGCTGGCTGGCTGGCTTCATGGATGAATGGATTTTTTTTGAGCACCTCATTGGTACTGGGCTCTGTGCTGCAGACTTAGAGATGAACCAGGCCCATCCCCGCCAGCAGGTCTGCTGGGGAGACAGACACAGGAATATGGGCTAGCCAGTGGCACTGGAAAGCACAGTGGCTGTGGGACCCCGAGTGGAGCCTGGCCAAGCCGGCTGGGAGCCCGGCAGGAGGAAGGCACCGCGCAGGGCACAGGTGAGAATACCTACCCCGATGAGTCCTCGGAAACGAATTTCCCCGGAGCTGAGCAGCCCACGGGTGCTACATGGCTTCTGCTTCAGCACTTCAATGAAGTCTTTGAAGTCATAGGAGCCAGGGCCCAGTTTTTCCTTCTGCACCAAGAGAAGAGAGCAGACAAGGAAAGACAGATATTTAAAAACCTTAAACTTGGGAATGTCCACCTAGGAAGGAGTGGGGAGGGGGGTGGGTGCTAGAATTGACCAAGTGGACCTGGCCCAACAGACAGGGAAAAGTGTGGCCCTGGGGCCTCACCTGCTGCCGCTTCTCCTTCATGATAGCCTGGTACTGATAGTGGGGCAGCTGGGTCAGCCGCGTGGCTTCTTGGGCCTTGGCCCAACCTGTGCCCATCTCTCTCTTGAGCTTCTTCTTGCTGAAGCAGGTCTCCATGGTCCCATAAGTCCCAGGTCCTATGTGGGCCTGAGTGAGAGCACAGTCAGAGCTGGGGTGGCCACACTCACCCTGTCCACCCACAGAGTAGGTTTCCACCAAGCAGCCGCCCTGACCTGGGGTAATGCCCTTGTGTGGCCCCCAACCCCAGAACCAGCCTGGCACCAAGGGGCATGGTACTAAGGGTGCAATCAGGACATGCTCCATCACTGGCCCCTTACAGAGAACTTCAGAGAGGTGAAGTAACCCTTCCAAGAGCCCAGCCCGTGTGTGTAAGAGCGGGGAATGGATGCAGGTCTCTGGGCCACAACACACACTGTTTTCACTGCAGTCCTGCATTGCAGGATCGCCCAGAGCTCCAGCTCCCTGTCAAGGTCTGTGCTCCACCATGGGCTTGGAGAAGGGTAAGGTATACCCCTCATACAGCTCAGCTCACCCAACAGAATAGAGGACTCTGAGGGGCAGTGGCCAACCCCGCTGAGAGCTCAGGGAAGCTGCACCAACTCACCACATTTTCGGAATATTTCTTGAAGTATGGGGCCTCTGTGAAGGTGCTGAACTTCTTATGTTTGGGATAAACAGCAGAGATGTCAAACCTGGGGAGGGGTGGAGGCCCAGGGATAGTCCAAGACCTGGTACCCAGCCCTGCCACCCAGCCCTGCCAGCTGGCTGAGGCAGGAAGGAAGAGCAGGGCTGCTCCCACCTCAGGGTCTTATCCTTCCTGGTACCTGTCTCCAGATAACCCCCTTACCTGGTCCCCGCCTCCCTGAAGGGCCTTTACTTAGAAGTCAGCTTCTCAACACAACCCCAGCCACCCTTTAGCACCTGCCAGCTCCTTCCCCCAGCCTTCTTTATCTCTATAGCTTAACATTTTATTTATTTTTCTTCAATACTCACACTAACCAACATGCGCATATGCACACACACACACGCATGCACACACACACACTCCTGAGTCCAGAGATTTGCTATTTTGTTCACTGATGTGTCCCCACTTGCTAGAACTGAGACTGGCACATGCCACTTGTCAGTGTATATGTACGTGACCACAGGTGATACACACACACACACATTATATAATATATATTATATATAACACAATATATTAATATATAATTTATATTATATTATATATTATGTAATATATATTATATAATATTATAATATATATATATGAATTGTATGTATAAAGAAAGACACCCAGGTGACATCCTAACCACTCCCTTTGAGCTGAGTGACCTACTGTGGGCCAAGCCTCTTGGCTTCTGAGTCTAGTGTATAGTAGATGCTCTCGAAATGGTTTTAAGTAACTTAAATAGGATGGTAAAAGAACTCTGGGCAGGAAAGCACAGGAGGAACCCCCACCCCATCCCCCACCCCCCACCCCCAGTCCAATGCAGCGTCGTGGGCCCTCCCCCGACCCCCTCTCAGGCTAAGGGGGCTGACTCCCAAGCCCAGAATCACCAGCACAGCCCCACCAGGCCCTACCTGTGGCTCTGCACTCCAAAGGGCGCCCCAGTAAACCATTTGGTGGCCATTGCGCTAACCCACGCCAAGCAGCGAGTTCCTTACGAGATACCTGTGGCGGGAATCTTCCTCCGCGCTGCCCGCCAGGCGGTCCTGCTGCTGTCAAGGCAACCCGGGTCTGTGATAAGCGGGAGGACTGTGCGCTGTCTGCATGCGTGGCGCCCCCTCTTGCCTCTGTCCGCTTGCCCAGGGCGCTCAGACTTGACTTGCTTCTGCGCTGCTCTGCACGTTTTCACCACTCCCTTGCCAGAGATCCTTCCTCTAGCCCTGCATATATAATGGCCCCTCCTGGTGGTTAACATGGATGCCATTTGGTGGGTTTGAGAATCACTCATTGAGCCATTTCTGGTTTCTTGCCTTTTCTCAGTGCCTGAAGTGGCCTGATGGAGCAAAGCCCAGGAAAGGTTCACCCTAGGCTCATGGGAACACTGGGTGCACAGAGGGGCCTCAGTTGCTAGAACTGAGTCTGGCACATGCCACTTGGGCAAAGAGGGCATGCCTGTCCTTTGCCTTCAGGGAGGGAGCTGGCAAGGAGTCAGACCTTGGAGGGCAGGAGTAAGGCTCCTGAGAGGCAAGGAAGAGTTGCAGGTTGGAGTCAGCAGTCACCATTCCCCAGACAGCCCTGACACCCACTCTGGGCAGATGTTGTGCAGGATGCCTGAAAGTGTGGAGGGGCTGGAGGGAATAATCACACTTCATGGCCAGGCCTGTTAGAGAGGGAGGACTCTGACCCAGCCTGTGGGTTCGTAGGTCAAAGAAGACTTCCTGGAGGAGGAAGTCACACTCAACACTAAATTCTGTGTATGACCTGTTAAGTAAAGGAGTTGCGGGTATGTGCCCCAGATAGGGCATGGTCAGTTCTTTCCCCTCCTCCCCCTTCTTTATCCCCACAGAGTCAAGTGTAGATTATCTAATCCAAGGCTTCAGGCTAACATGAAGCAGAGAGCCACCCCACTGATGACATGCCTGAAGCTGTAGAGAAAAAGGTTCCTGGAAGGAACTGGACTAGTACGCAAATTGATCCCCTGGCAGGCCACGCCCAATGCCCTTCTGACATCATAATACGGTGTTTACATAGGAGGTGTGGATCCTCCCTGGTGGCACAAGGGGTTAAAACGCAATCTATAAAACTATCAGCAGCCACTGCAGCACGAGTTCGGTCCCCAGCCCAGGGAACTACCCACATGGCATGGCAGACCTCTCCTGACTCGCCCGCTGCTCCCCTCAGCAGTGTATTTCAGTCAGTCTGCCTGTTTTGCTCCCCACTCTGTCTCTGGTGAATCCTCTCACCCCCCCCCAACAACTCTGGCCTGTACCCCAGTTCTTGAATGCATAAATAAATAAATCTTAGAAAAATAAATAGGAAGTGTGGCTCCCTGGCTAGATTCCCAGGCTCCAGGACCAGCAGCACTTGACTGGCTGAGCATCCACCCTGCACTCTGAAATGATAGTCAACGGCATTAGGCCTGAGCACACATGGGATGAGCCTGGGTGACGCAAGCATAGGCACCACCCCTCCCCATCTGTGTGAACTTGGGCAAACCACTAGCTTTACCGATTCTCTGCTTTCTCCCCTATAAAAGTAAATAGTCTCTATTTCTCCAGATTGCTGAGGATTAAATCAGCTAATTTATGTATGTTCCTGTCACACAGCAGAAACTCAATAAGAGATTACTCCCCACCCATGGAAAGGGACTTACAGAAGATCCAGGGGCAGAAACTGTCTCATTCACTCTTGGTAAAGTACCTGGCCCATAGTAAATGCTCAGGAAAGATTTGTTGAATGACAAGTGAACAAATAAATGAATCTAGTCCAACTTCCCAGGAATGCATCACTTCTCAAAGAGACTCACATCTGAGTCTTAGACCTGCCACTTCTAGCAAGTGTCCCTGAGCAATTTATCTTGGCCAAGCTTTAATTTCCTTGTCTGTGACGTGGGCATGTGACTAGAGTCTGTGGAGGAGTCGGCAAGGTATGGTGTGTATGAGATCATGTCCTTTGTGCTGGGGAGGCCCTGGGACCAGCCCTGGGTCTGCTCAGCTATTCCCAGGGTGGTTCAGTCCTGCCTGGGGCTGCATTGCTTCAACTCTCCCAGTCTGAGCCCCTTGACTCTTGGACTAACAGAGGTGTGACCACAGGATATAGGCCAAGGTCTGCTGGGCTGGCAGTCCTGGCAGCCTGGCAGGTCAGAGCCAGCCAGGAGAGTCAGCTCTGCAGCAAAGCAGCCTGCTGCCCTAGGCAGCCCGAAGCCCCTCACCACAGTGACTCAGTGATCAGAACAACTAACTCATTCTCTCTTATAGGGACTGCTGCAACCCGCTGCCACCCCTGTTATACGGAATAGGAAGCTAAGGCTCAGACAGGGAGAGCTCCTTGCCTGGTCACATCTGGTGAGGTATAGGATCATACACCAGATATGGGGCTAATGACTGGGTTTCTGAGCTCCCTGGCTGCAAGAGTTTCTAACTCATCCAGGCTCTGCATTCATCTGTTATGTCAACAGAGTCAAGTCAAGCTTCTCAGCCAGGATTTAGGTCTCTGCAATGGGGCTTTGGCTGCTGCCTTCAGTCCCATGTCTGTGAGTGTCAGCCATAAAGGGTTGTTCAGTCCCCAGGACACCCCCAGCACTGGCAAGTCTCTGGCCTTATTGTGTCTTTGCTGTGGCCAAAATGCACCTGAAACCTCCCTCCCCCAGCCAATTCCTACTCATCTTCTCAGTTAGAACAAAAGCCAAATCTACTCATTAGCATGCCCATTACATGAAAACAAACAAAAAAACCCAAAACAAAAAATAGCAGGTATTGGCAAGGAGGTAGAGAAAATGGAAACTTCAGGCACCATTGGTCAGAGTATAAAATGGTGCAACTCCTATGGAAAACCAGGATTGCAGCTCTTCAAAAAAAAATTAAACATAGAATTAACATATGTCGTAACCATTCCAGTTCTGTATATATACCCCAAAGAATTAAAAGCAGGGACTCCAACAGATGTTTGTATACCAGGCTCATAACAGTATTGTTCCAAATACCTGAAAAAATGGAAACAACCTACCAAGTGTCCACTGATGGATAAATGGAAAAAAAAATTTGGAGGATACACACACACACACACACACACACACACACACACACACACACACACGGAGGAATATTATTCAGCCTTGAAAAGGAAGGAAATTCTGACACAAATTACAATATGGATGACCTTTGACAAGATTACACATGAATAAGACAGATTAAAAAGACAGATATTGTCACGTTCATAGAGGCAGGATGTAGAAGGGTGGCTTCCAGGGTGGGGGGAGGAGGGACTGGGGAGTCCTTGTTTCATGGTTACAGAGGTTCCATTTGGAAAGATGAAAAGCTCTGGAGATGGATGGTGAAGATGGCTGCACAGCAATATGAATGCACTTAATGCTGCTGAAATGGACACTTAGAAATGGCTGAGATAGTAAATTTTATGTTAAGGATATGTTATCATAATAAAAAGAAGAAAAACAAGCCAGACATCCTGATATTCCACCCCGGTCCTCCCAAGCAGGTAAAAGCCCACGTTTTATCTCACAATCCCTAGCACTTCATAGCAATGATTTTTTATTTAAAATTATTAGATTTTATTTTTTAAAAATTACAGATTTTAAAAAAAAGCATCAGAATGTTGTTTTCATTTATCTTTTTATTGCTCAAGTCAATTTTTTTTTTCAAATTTACTAATTAGCTCTATTTCCTCTCCTGAAAAATGCTGGTGTGTTTTTCAGGAAGATAAAGCAACAGGGTTTCAGGAACCAAGGTGGACTGAGCGGCCGGAGGGACTCCCAAGGGCAGACCTGCTACAAGAGCCAGGCACTGCAGCCTTGCGGCAGGGAGCACAGCCCAGCTTCTATGGGTTGGAGATAGATACCAGGCCAGTGGTGGTGGGGGGAGTTGGCAAGAACAGGAAAACTGGGACCACAGGTGGAGGGCAGGGTGGGGGAGAGGTGGGAGCAGACGGCTATCCAGAATGACTTTTACCAGGTTTACCCATGCTATGTGCCCTGTCCCTGGAAAAGGGGTGTTACCCACAAGTCACAGACAAGGAGGCATTAAGTATGAGATTGAAGCAACTCATCCAAGGAGACACAGTATTTAGGGATGGAGAACCAGGATTGGATCCAGCACTTGGACCCCAAGTGTCCTTCCCCAGGGGCCCAGTGCACCGTGGAGAGGAGGCAGAGAAATCCAGGAGAGGAAACCTGCTGAATAATGGTCAGAGGAAGAGCAGAGGGAGGGGCAGGCTCCAGTCAAAGGGAGGTTGGGCTGGGGGGCAGCAGTAGGAGCCCAGAGTGGCTGGAAAGGGCAGTCCTGACCCTCCTAGTCAGCGAATTCACTCAAGGACAGTGCCCGCGGAGGAAGAGCTTGGCTTGGGTTCAGCAAACTGGGTTCCACTTGCTTGGAACAGCCCAGTTCTGTGACCTGTTCAAATACTTTTCTTCTGAATCTCCGTCTCCTTGTCTGCTGAGCAAAGAGTAAAATACACTTTTTGCCATGCACCAGGGTTTGCGAGCGCCGCATTTGGCAATGCACCTGTTTTTCTGGCACACCTGGTTGCGCAACGCGGGCGTCTAACACCCAACAGCGAAAGCGGAAACACCCACAGGTGGATCCAGGTAGACGCCTGGATCCACCCACCTCCTGGAGGTGGCCCTGAACCGTAGGCACCTGCGAGCTGGGCTTCTGACCCTCGCTGCCAGCGCGGGGCCAGCAGTGGGGGCGCCCCCTCCCCACTGCCCTCTGCAGCCTTTGGGGCAAGTGTGAGACCAGGGCAGCATCGCGGCAGCTATGGGGGAGCCAGAGGCTGCGGCTGAGGACCTGGACGCCCTCATCGACAACCTGGACTACCTCCCGGGCCACTTCCACCTGGAGATGCAGCTGAACTTCGAGCCACGCTCGCCGGCCTCGCTCCGCGCGCGGGACCTGAAGCTGCAGCGGGAAGGGCTTCGTCAGGAGCTCGAGGTGGCGACCACCCCGCAGCGCCCCGCCGTGCGCCACCTCCTGGGCACCTTCGCCTTCTACCTGGAGGAGCTAGATGTGGCCCGTGAGCGTTTCCTCGAGGTGGTCCGCGAGGACCCGGGCAACCTCAACGCCTGGGCCAATCTGGCCCAAGTCTACGGGCGCCTGGGGCAGGAGGAGGAGGAGGAGGCGTGCGCCGAGCGGCTGGCTGGCCTCATGGACCCGCAGAGCGATCGCGAGGCCGCTGGGGCCCTCCAGCTGCGCGCTGCGCGCTGCCTGGCGGAGCAGGGCTATGCGCACGGCTTCGACGTGGGCTGCGCCAGCCCCGAGGAGCGCGCCCGGGTGCTGGCAGCCGGAATAGGGCTCTACGACAAGGCGCTGGGCTACGGACAGCAGGTAAGTGAGCACTCCCAGGCTCGGAGGGCCAGGATGGTGGCCCCTGACGTCTGCAGGGATCTCCGCACCCAGTACTCCATGAGTACTATTCCAGTACTCCATAAGTACTCCTCTTTGCTCTAGCATCCCCCTTCCCGTCCCAGAACTGGCTGTAGCTGTCCTCTCCTGGGCCAGGGAGTGGACCGGCTCCTTGGCTCTTCCTGTTGCCCGCTCAGTCTCTCTTCGGCAACACTGCAAAGGCAGCCCGGCCAACTCATCCCTCTTATCTTGCTCCTCCCAGCAAGTACCTGTCCATGGCCCGTGCACACCCACCTAAAAGGCATAATCCCACATCCCGCCCGAACCTCGGGCAGCAGTCTTACCTGTTCTACTCCCCTCACCCTCACCCCCATCTCACCCCAAATTCTGCCCATCCCACCTCCTTATATCTCCAGGGTCCTCTCTAGTCTCCCTCTGCCAGTCCAGACTCCACGTCCCCAGTCTGTAGCAGTGGAGCTGCCATTATCCTACCTGGTTCCTACCCTCCTCGACCCTTCTGCCTCATCCTACACTCTGCTGCCAGTGGCATGTTGCTCCATCTTTGCCACCATATCCCTCAGAACTCCCCCGGAGACTCCCCACTGCCTGGCAGTTCAATTCAAGGCTATCTAGCAGGCATTTGAAGCCCTCCGTGATGTCTGCCATGGCCACCCTTCCAGTCAGGAGTTTGCCACAGTCTACTTCCTCTTGTTCCCCATGGGCGAGGTCTCCTTACATCGCACCTTGCCGTGCTCGCAGTCTCTTTCTGAGGTGCCCTTCTGCTCCCCATTTACCTGGAAGGCCCTTCAGTCTCAGGCATCCACTTTTCTTTTTTCTTTTTTTTTAATAATAAATTTTATTTTTATATTCCCCATACAATTACAACCACCCATTTTTACCCCAATCCCTCCCCTCCCAACCCCCCACCCCCAAAAAGTGTCTCTGGTTCATAGTTTTTTGTTGATTTTGATTTTCACTTTCTATAGTTATTCATTTTCCTGGTCCCTTAGTTTTCTAGATTCCTGCTATGAGTGAGACCATCTGGTATTTTTCTTTTTCTTTCTGGCTTATTTCGCTGAGCATGATCCCTTCCAGCGCCATCCATGTTGCTGCAAATTGCATGTGTTTATCTTTTTTGAATGCTGAGTAATATTCCATGGTGTATATGTACCACATCTTCTTGATCCAGTCATCTATTTTGGGGCATTTGGGCTGTTTCCAAAGCTTAGCTATTGTAAATAGTGCTGCTATAAACATAGGGGTGCAGGTGCTCTTTGGAATGGATGTTTCTGTGTCCTTTGGGTAAATACCTAGGAGTGGAATTGCTGGATCATATGGAAGCTCTATGTTTAGTAGGTCCAGAAATCGCCACACAGCTCTCCACAGTGGTTGTACCAGTTTGCACTCCCACCAACAGTGCAGGAGAGTTCCTTTTTCTCCACAACCTCGCCAACATTTGTTGTTGCTAGTTTTTTTAATATGTGCCATTCTCACTGGTGTAAGATGGTATCTCGTGGTAGTTTTGATTTGCATTTCCCTGATTACAAGTGATGTTGAACATTTTTTCATATGCCTGTTGACCATTTGCATTTCTTCTTCAGAGAAGTTTCTTTTTAGCTCTTCTGCCCATTTTTTGACTGGATTATTTTTCTTTGTTGTTGTTGAGTCTCATCAGCTCTTTGCAGATTTTTGTGATCAGTCCTTTATCATTAGTGTTGTGTCTCAGGCATCCACTTTTCAAGGACACCTCCATTGACCTCCCCCAAGGCTGTGTCCTTGGGCCCAGCCCAGCGACTGCTCCCCAGAGCAGCTATGGCCAGCACCTCCCTACAAATACCAGGATTTGGAGCTCCCTGTTTTGTCATCTGCACATTAAGAAGCTCCTGGCACAGAGCAGGTACCTAAGCAGCAGCAGCAGCCAGGTTGACAGTGGTGATTTCATGATGGTTAGAGCCAGAGGCTTGGTTTCCAGCACCTACCTCCCTTATTATTTTGCTGTGTGGCTTTAGAAAAGTGACTTGTCATCTCTGGCTTCTGTCTGCTTCAGGAACATTAAACAATAGTGATCTCCCCTCAGGTTCACTGTGATTATCCAATTGCATCAGGAGGTAAAGGCGCCCATAAACTGGCCAGTTTTGGGCACACCTGAGAGATGGAGACAGCCACACATTTGGTCAACAACAGGCCTTATGTACAGCAGCAGTCCACATAGGCCCTAACATTAATACCTGGGTGCAGGAGGTTTAACCCTGTAGGTTTGTGTGATCTTACCCTGTAATGAGTTTCTCAGAACGAATCCCTGTCGTTAAGCCGCACATGACTCCCTGTGTGACCGTGTCCACGAATGTCTTCTCTGAGCACCTTCCAGACTCAGGCAGTTCTCCCAACACCCATCTGATCCCATTTCACAGATGTGGGAACTGAGGCATAGCCAGCTAAGCAATTTGCCCAAGGTCATCCTGGCAGTTGAATCCATTCCACAGAGACTTCAAGGCCTTTGCTCTTTCTGCAGAGTTCAGAGAAGTGGAGGTGCGGTGTGGGGTACAGGTGGCTGGGGGATGGCGAGGGGAGGCCCCTCGTGGGCAAAGGATATGTCAAGAGCAAGGAGGTGAGTTGTCACGTATGGGGGGGTGCACGAAAGGCAGGCCAGAGAGGAAGTCTGAGTCAGACCAGGGAAGGAGGAGGTGGGACTGTGGAGCAGCAGGGTGAGACCCCCAACAGGAGCACAGTGGGGGGGGGGCAGCTGGCAGTCTAAGAGTTTCCATCCTAGCGGGACTGTCCCTGGTGGGGAAGTGCCCCCGGGGCTCACAGCATAAAGGGCAGTTGAAGGAGCAACAAACAGCTGCTTCTCTGCTCACGACAAGAGGAAACATTATAAAAGTTCAGAATTCCACCCGTGCTCCAAAAATGAGCAGTGTGTGTGTGCATGTGTGCGAGAGAGAGTGGGTGTTTGTGACTTCCTTTCTCAGATCTCCCTTCCCTCCCCTTTCTCTTTCTCGAGTTATAAAAAGATGAAGAGGCAGATTGCTTTTATCTGCCATTCATTCCTACACACACACACACACACACACACACACACACAGAGCACACACACAGTAGATTCTTAGTGGCAAATCACAAAGCTTGGTGGGCATCAGATCATGCATTTTGGAATTAGACAGAGTGGGTTAAAGTTCTGTCTCCATGACAAAGTCATTCACTTCTGTGAGCCTCAGTTCCTTGTCTACAAAATGGGATTCTAACACCTCCCTCATAGGGGTGCTATGAGGATTATGTGAGAAAATGTGAAAAACTCCAGGTGGTACAAAGCATGTGGGGGTCCAGACTCTCCCCTGCTTCCGCTTGGCCAGCGCACAGCGCTTTGCGTGCTCCTTAGCAGAGCCGTTCCCAGCTTATGGCTTATCTTCAGATGATTCTCTTGCCTCCCCCCAGGGGGGGAGCCCTCTTCTGTCTCCCCCATCCTCAGTCCACCATCCAGTGCCTAGCTGGACATCCAAGAGGGATCTGACTGTTGTGCAATTTACTTCAGTTGAAAAACCGAATTTTAAGCCTGATCATCTCTATTAATTTGTTTAACATAAGGCAACTCAAATTTATATTTCTCTAAAAAAAAATCCCTGCCCCACAGTCAGTTATTTGATTTTCTTCCCCCTTTCCTGTGAATACACAATGCGCATGCACACACCTACCAAGACACACACACCCTGGGTGATAACAAGAACCAGCACCCAGTGGGTGTCATTGATCCCAGCCTGTGTGCCGGGCACTGAGCTCCAACAAGCCATCTGTTAGTGCCTTTGATTTGTATTCAGACCTCACAGACACGCGCTGGTTGGGTATTGTGAGTCCCCCTCCCAGAGCAGATAACAGGCTCGGGGAGGGAAGCGACTTGCTCAAGGTGACCCTGTGTACCATGACCCTCTGGGGCCCAGTGGGGCAGTAGGGAAGGAGGGGCTGCTGATAGGCAGGGCAGACAGCCTTGCAAACAAAGGTGTGGGCATTCCTATCGTTCGCTGCACCCAGTGGGGCGAGGACCTGACAGGAAGGGAGAGGGCACGGCCAGTCAGCTGCACCGGGGTTCCTGGGGCACAAGCTCATGCACAGCTCTGCCACCCCGGGGGGAGGCCAACCCAAAGACCTGCACCCCATAAGGAGCTGCTCTCCTGACAGCTTATTGCTTCCCATGTGCCCCCACCTCCCTTTTTCTGTCTTGTCTTCTCCCCCTGATGCCCCAGGGCCACCCCGAGACCTTGGGGACTCAGCATACTGGCCAGGGCAGGGCTGGGCAGGGTGACCAGGGTCAGTACGGCAGACTGCAGGGGATCCCTGCTCTGCCAGTCACACCCTGGGTGAGCTGGGCTGGATGCCCATCCTCTCTGGATGTCTCTCTGCGCAATGGGGAGGGGTATGGGAGGAGGCCACAAAGGGAAGGCCCAGCCCCAGCCAGCTTTGGTGATTTGGTTTTCTCATCCACATCCCCTGGTGGGGTTGCCAGAACCAAAAGGGACCTGGGGCCTTCCTTCTAAGCAACACCCCCAACCCCTTCTCTGCTTCTCCTGCCCCTTTCTGAGGTCACTGTCCCCCACCCCAGAATCAGCATTAAGACGAAGATAGTGACATTGGGGCAGACCCTACTCAGAGTCAGGGGCCAAGATTTGGGTTTCTGTCCTAGCCCTGCACTGACTTACTGGGGGGCAGTGAGCAAGTCAACTTCTTCCCCTGGATCTCTCCTATTTCCTCTTCTGTAAAATGAGGGAAGTGGAGTGAGGAGTGACTGGGAGATTTCAGGGACAAGGAGGACTTGGTAGAGCAGTGAAGAGGAGGGAGGATTGAACCTCCAGGCCAAAATCACATAAGGTGGGTGGGTGGGGGAACAATACTGGGAGGACTTCAGAATTAATCTCTAACTTCTTTTTTTTAATTTTTAAAAAAGATTTATTTATTTATGCATACAAGAGCTGGGGTACAGGCCAGAGGTGTGG